GAATAGCATGCTAAGTGAGATAAGTCAGTCTGAGAAAGACACATATCACATGATTTCACTCATATGTGGATGTAAAAAGGAGTTAATAATAGGAAGGATTGGTCTAAGTAACAAAATAAACTGATGAATGGAGTGGATCCAGAGACATGGAAGCATGGTACAGTGTGGAACCTTGGAGGGAAAGGAAGGAAGGGTGGGTGGGTAGAAGGTAGTCAACCAAAGACCTTCTTTACATATATACAAAATCTATGGACACAGACAATGGGTGGTGAAGGCCTAGGGTGAGGGGGGAAGAGTTGGAGGGGGATCAATAAAAGAGGGAAAGGGGACATATGTAATACTTTCAACAATAAAGAATTATGTTTAAAAATCCTATCTAATAAAAGAGAAATATGCAAATTAACCATCACTCTGCTCAAGCCACACCCACCAGCCCATCAGAGCAAGTATGCAAATCAATCCCAACTAAGATGGCTACAGCCACAAAGAGCAGTTGAGAGGCTTGGGTTTCCCCGGCAATGGAAGTCAAGCTTTCTACACCCTGGCCAGCCTGGGCCTCCATTCCAGGCTACAAAATTTCAATTATAAAAGATACATAAAACCAAACCGAAATGGTGGCAGCCACAGAGCAAGCAGGGGACTTGGCTTCAAAGTTTCAATTGTAGAAGGTAATAAATTCCAGATACCAGGGCCTCCGCTTGAGTCACCAGGGCGCGTGGCTGGCCTGCAAACCAACACAGGCCTCTCGCCCAGGCTGTCCCACACCCCAGGGAATCCCCACCCTGATTCGGGACACCCTTCAGGGCAAACCAGCTGGCCCCTATCCATGCACCAGGCCTCTATCCTATCTAATAAAAGAGTAATACGCAGATTAACCATCACTCCAATAGCTGCCCCCATGTGGTCAAAGATCCTGCCCCCATGTGGACACAAAATGGCCACCACAAGATGGCCAACAGGGGAGGGCAGTTGGGAGGCATCAGGCCTGAAGGGGAGGGCAGTTGAAAGGGACCAGGTCTGCAAGGGAGGGCAGTTGGAGGCGATCAACCCTGTAGGGGAGGGCAGCTGGGATGGCCAGGCCAGCAGAGGGAATTTGGGGGCAAACAGGCTGGCAGGGGGGCAGTTAGACATCAATCAGGCTGACATGGAGTGATAAGGGGGTGATTAGGCTGGCAAGAAAAAGCAGTTAGGGGCAATAAGGCAGACAGGCAGGCAAGCAGTTGGGAGCCAGCAGTCCTGGACTGTGAGAGGGACGGTGGGATCAGGTCTAAATGGACAGTTTAACATCTCTTGAGGGGTCCCAGATTGGAGAGGATGCAGGTTGGGCTGAGGGACACCTCCCACCCTGTGTACAAATTTCATGCACCGGGTCTCTAGTTTTCTTATAAAGGGCATGGTGGGTTTGCTCAGTGGAGAAAAAAATGGACACATAATGATATGCTTGGAAAGATACATTAAAAAACCCTCTTATTATCAGTTATTGCTATAAAATAGGACCAGGACTATGAGTATGACCTTAATACCCTTCCGTATTACATAAACTCCTTAAATGTGCATTTTAAAATTTTCTTTTAAAGGTTTTCTTTTTATAGGTAAATGTTCTAATAATGGTGAATAATGCTTTTAAGTTGTTTATAAATCCCTGAGTAATAGTACTATTTGTATATATGGACAGACATTAATGACCATGTCACCTGTTGTCTTCTAAACCGAACTTTGATTTCACAAGGGAAAGCAAGTCTCATACCTCATTAACTTGACTGAACCATGTCTATGTAGGGTATGGAATCCCACTTGTATGATAACAGAAAAGCAGTAGGAAGCTCTTTTTTTGCCTTTTATCCTCATTATTTTTTTCTTGGACATAATTAAGATTTTTTTTTTTGTTTGGGAAGAGTGTGAGATTTGATGCAGAGAACATTGTTGTGTCAAAGCAAGAGTAGAACAGAAATGGAGGATGGTGAAAAATGGCATCCAAAGGGGACAAGAGTGGGAACTGACGCACAACCAGCCATCTATTGAGAATAAGGCGCCCTTGGGTGAAGCCTCTAGCCCTGACTGCAATCTCAGAGGCGGAGCCCATTGGCCTGATGGCTGCAATTCTGCCTTGGCTTAGAGGAGGGCCTGGGAATGTGGGGGGAAAAAACACAGCCCTTTGTTCTCTTCAAGAAACAAAGCCAATGATATTTTCAGCAACTTTCAACTATAATTCTTTGGATGAATAAAGCCTATTTCCTCCCAAGAACTCAAAGGCAACGTCCAAGAAAGACCCTCATTTCATGCCTCATTAATTGCTGCTTCTCGGCTTTGTAATTCTCACCTGCACAATGGGTGGAGGAACTGCTTCCTCTGCAAGTTTTCTGGGTCTCACGAGAAACGCAAATCCAGTCCAGAAAGCAGCTTTCTTTTTTCTGCAAGGAAGGCCTTCAAGCTAAAGCCTTAATCAAGGAAGTTTTTGCAACTTTCCTTCTTGCATTTGGCCTCTCAATGAATTCTTCAATATGAACGGAACTTAATGTTTATATAAAACAAATGACTGCACAACCTGGTGGCTTACAACACAGCAACATGTTATGTCTCACTGTTCTGTGGGTTGGTTGGGCACTTCCTTGCTGGTTTTGCCGGGCTCACTCATGTGGCTGTATTTAGCTGGCGCACTCGGAAAGTCCCAAATGCCTCTCACTGTCCTACAGCTGGTGTGCCTGTCAGATGGGCACCTCCGTTCTCTTCTGGCCCCTCATCATCAGGTAGGCTAAACCAGTCCCTTATGAGACTCCCTTACAGTCAAGGCCAGATTCTAGCAGAGCAAACCAGAAGCTGCAAGGTCTTTGAGCTGCAAATTTCTAGTTCACACATCACTTATGCTACCATAGATGGTTAAAGTAAGTCACATTGCCAGCCCAGCTGCAAGGACTAGGGAAACAGATTCCATCTCCTCATTGGAGAAGCCCAAAGCTTTGTGGTCACATTTAACCTACCACATTCCACTCTTTGGTCACAATTATTTTCATTTTCTTACATGCAAAGTACGCTCATTTCCTCCCAACACGGGCCAAAGTCCAGTATTTCGTGATCTTTATCTCTTTATTTGGTCCAGACAGGGAAGATACTTCCTAGGGTGCAGCTTTTTAAAACACAGAATATTGTGACTGAATTAACTAATTAATCCCAGTAGGGGGTGTGCAGGAGGCAGCTGATTGATGTTTCTCTCTCGTTGATGTTTCTCTAACTCTATCCCTCCCCCTTCCTCTCTATAAAAAAAAAAAAAAATCAATAAACTATATTTAAAAACAAAAACAAAAAATAGCCTCTGACACTTTTAACATTCTACTTGAGATAACCTTAACTGATCCACAAGTCCATTAGATACAAGTTCTCTCTCTCTTACAGGCCCAGTTTTGCCAAATGTATCACCACTACGTAACATGGCTGAGCTAGCTGTGCCCTGTGGTGTCCTCTTTTCCAAGAAAAAGGTCTCAGTCCAAACTTCTCATTTTAAAGAGTGTGAGCTTTCAGCATTATTTCCAGCACCAGTAAATAACTCGCTAGAGAAGCTGAAGCCTAAGAGCAGCCTATATTCCTTATCCCATGTACTTTTCAAGGGCCCTCTCATGCTTACCTTATATAAAGGTCAGTTGGGTTCCTCCTCTAAAGCACAGCCCCAAAGCATGTGCAGCTGTACTTCTTCCAGTTTTAGCTTATACCAAGTGGTGCTTGCCAGATTTCTTGCTTAATGTCCTCTCAGGGGCAAAATAACACCATCAACAAAATGACAACCAGCTAATACCCTTAATAGATAAGAAAGAACCCTTACAAACCAGTGAGAAAAATAAAAATATTCAAAATAATAAAAAGTAATTAAAGAGTGGCCAATATATATATATATTTTTAAATGTGCCTCTCCCACCTCTATTTTCAGTCACCAGTAAAGGAAACAGGGGCTCTGCTGGTGGGTACGCAAAGTGATCTCTTAGGAAATTTGGAAATATTTACCTAAAATCTTATTACCTACTCCTAAAAAAGTTATATTGAGGAAATATTAATGATGTAGTAGGAAAGTTCCTTAAAGTTTTATTTATAATAGAAAAAAAATCAGTCTATATTTTCAACAACAAGGGACTAATTAAACAAATTTTGGTTCATTTGTATTATGCACTTTTTAAAATAATATATGATATAAAATTCATGATACTTTGTTAAGTGAAAAGCATACTATAAATTAACATAAACACATGTAAACACACATATACACACATATGGCCCCAATTTTGAAAAGGTTTTTAAAATAATTGCATATAATATTAACAGAGGTTACCTAAAGATAAATGGGGTCATTGTTGGAATTTGTTTCACTCTTCTTTGAACTTTCTGCATTTTTCCAGATCTTCTAGAATGAGGAAAACATATTTTTTCTGGGAATATGTATTGAGTCACCTTTGTTATCTCATTTTCACAATTTTTGCCCATTATTTTTTGATCCTAAATAAACATTAGTACTAGCCCCCAGTGATGGCGCTGGAACAGGGTAAGAGAAGATGGCTGTTTGAATTTTTTTGACAAAACTTTCTAAATCAAAAGCTGTCCAATAAATTATGCTGTTAAAACACACGAGAAAAGTCATTTGCACTCTCTTACGTGGGGCTTAATAATTGAAATAGACCTAAGAAAAAAGACATTTACTAAGAAGTAAAGAAATATCTTTTCTATTTATTGGAATAATTAAATAACCAAGAGTAAAAAGTTCAAAACATATATACAAATATTAATTTTAAAAATGTAAAATATAATTAAACTATTATATATATATATATAATTAAAAATAGATTAACTGAGCATCCTTAAAACTATATAAATATGGGATTACTTACAAAATTCCTTACAGATATAACATCTATTATTTGAATAAAGTTTGAAATTTGTTTATAATGTTCAAATTAAGAGAGGAAGTGGTGAGTAATAGCTTGCCCAATTAACAATTGTCCAAAGAGAATGATTTTGTGTTATTTTTTGCTTGTCTTTTCTAATACCCATTCAATCACCTAGGAGGAGAAAAAAATATGGTTATGGTTCATTTCTATTAAAAATATAAATGACAGAAAAAGATACTGCTAAAACTTCAAAAGACTACAGTAGAAATTTTAAAAGAAAAATAACATGTCACAATCTTAAAACTTATTTTATCTTGAAAACATGTTTTATTTTCTAACTGGAGAGCTTGTTTTGTTTGACTTTCACTGCATTGTATAACTTCTTCCCATTGAATGTGGATTCTGCTCTATTTTCTCACCTTTATTTAAAAATGTTTCAGCCCTAGCCGAAACATTTTAAAATAAGATGTTTTAGTGGATAGGGCGTAGGCCTACAACTGAAGGGCCTCAGGTATGATTCCAGTCAAGGGCACATGCCTGGGTTGTGAGCTCAATCCACAGTAGGGGGTGAGCAGGAGGCAGCCAATCAATGATTCTCTCTCATCATTGTTGTTTCTATTTCTCCCCCACTCCCCTCTCTCTCCCTTACTCTCTGAAATCAATTTAAAAAATTTAAAAAAAGAAGAGTTTAAAGAGTAAAAGGGTCCCTCTGCCATGAGGGAATTAAAAAAAATTTTCAAATGTTTTCAAAGGGTCACTAGAAAGAAATCAAACCAAACTTTTCAATCAGTGAACCAAAATGAATTAATTTTTCCAGCTCTTTGGATGATTTATTTTAAAATTTTCCTTTCTTAGCATCATTATAGAAATTCTTGTTCACAGAGCAACCTGCTGGCCAAAGTCTAATACTAAATATCTCAAAGAGTGTCGTTACTGTATAGACAACAGCACTAAGCTACTCTAAAATACAACAGAAATTTGACTGAATGTAGTTTTGTAGGAATAACTGATTTACCTGTATAGCATTGTTGTTTGCGGTTTTCTTCATTTCTTCATATAGACCCCTTGAAGTTTTAAGATCCTAAACATAACAAAATACAGCATTTTACAACTTGCACGTTAAATTACAGAGAACAGTCATTAGTAAATAAACTTGAGATTATCCTTTATATTTTGACATTTCTTGTGTGAGAAGCATTCCTTTGCAATCTGCTAATCCTTGGCTATCCAGTCATCTTTGAAAGGAGACATTGAAAATCTTACTGGAAGCTCTGTCTTGTGTGCAATTTATACACTGGTGGCTTTACACAATAGGGGGATCGGGGGCCAGTTGGCTTTTTTTTAAAATGTAGCCTCTGATTCTTTTTTCTCCAGAGGCTATTTCTTGCCCTGTCAGGGGTGGGGAAGAAAGCTAAAAGGAATAGATATTGTAGTTAGCACTGTGAGAGAGGGACATGCGAGCGAGTTGAAGGTTCCCTAACTTTGAAGAACTTGACTGAATTCCCTTGCTTTCCATGAGAGCTGGTATCTTCGAGTCTGGGCAGGTCAGACACTGTGGAAACTGAATTGGTTTGTGTTTCACTGGTATTCTACTAGAAGGCATTTAGGTCATAGATTCATTTGCTCGTCTACACCACACTTCCATTTGCTTTGTTCAACAATCTACTGAAAAACACGTCTATGTTTTTTTTTCTTTCCTCTTTGCTTGAGTTTTTGTACTTGAATACTATCTATCTGAAGAGATTTTAGAAAGAAGGTGAATTTAATACATGTGGCCAATACACAGTTTTAACTAGGAATCCATATAAAACTGTGATTCAAGTCTGAAACTCAACCCTGGAGATAATCTACCACCTGGTGCCTAATCTCGCCAGTATCTTACAACTAGTTGATAATGGATCCAAAATCTAGAAACTGGATCTAGTTGCCTTTTCACTACATATTAAAATGACTAATTAAATATTTCTTGAAGCTTATTACCAACTTTAATCAAAGGCTTATGAGAGAAATATTGAGGATACCAATTAAAATGTGGTTTTGTATATATGAGGACTAAAATCAAATAAATTGAAATATTTTAGCTCCAATTTTTCTATCTGCATTTTTAAAAAAGAATCTGGCAACAAGTTACAAGCAATCACTATGAAAAATACTAACCATTATTTCAAATAGGAACATGAGAACATGACCTCCATTTTGCCATTAAGAGAGGAGAGACGGTACCTTAAGGTAGAACTTGGAGATCTCAAAGAGACGCTGACTGCAGGCCATGAAGCACTCGTGCGCCTCGGTGATACTGTGCTTCTTCAAGGTTTCAGCAACCACTTCCTTCAACATCTTCAATAGAACATAAGACATGACTAATACTTTGTGGGAAAGGTACAAACGTTACTTCAGCTTTGAAGTTAAATTCTATACATTACACAATTATGTAGCTAAAAACAAAACTGAGAGGAGATCTGAAATGTTTACCAAGTCACACGTGTCACAGGATAATATCTGCTAGCAAGAAGTAACTGGAGTATCTTAAGAAGGCAATTAAAATTGTGGCTTCTGAATTGAAATTTGAGTGTAGAAGCTATACATGACAGTCTACTTATTTTTTTATTGGAAATTTTTAAACTCTGAAAAGTAGAGAGAAGATTTTATAACAAATCTCTATCTTAATACATCTATCAACCACAATCAAGGAGGATCGATCTGTGGCTAATTTTGTTTCATTTACCAGCCACCCACTTTCCCATTCCCCTTCTTACACTGGATTATTTTAAATTATAGATACCATTTCATTCATAAAAATTTCAAGCACACATCTGAAATGAATTAAAGGAATTTCTTGCTATATAGAATTAAGAGAGAGAGGAAATAAAATGTTACCCGTGTATGTTTCTGTGATCTTGACTCCTTAGTTTGTCTCAGTGCTTTTGACTCATGCACACTTTTTTGACCTGAACTGGCTTTTGTAGTGACTCTTGAAGTTTTATATCTATGAACAGGTACAGATTGACAAGTCATAGATAATTCTCTCTCAAGCTGTGGCTTTTTGGATGTCACTGCATGGTGGTGATGATTTGTATTGCCACTCATCTGAGAAAGAAGAGAATCTGAACTTTCAGATTTCACAAGCCTACTGTAGGGGGAAAAATAAAAAAAACATAGATTAAGTGAGTCAACAATGAGGTCCACTTTCTGTCCTAAATGTTACAGCTATATCCTTTGAAATATAAATCCAAAAAAACAAACAAAATTTCTTGCTACTACTGCCTTAAATAAGCAACCAACATCATCATATTACGCAGTTGCTCCCTTAGTTCTTGAAATGAATGACTAAAACACAATTTCAGCAATATTACTATTGCCCTCCCCATGAATTTACAATTTCTCACATAAATCAGCTAGGGAATGCCTGGTAGTGCTATTTATAAGCTCAATACTTATTTGTTAAGTACTCACACATCTTATTAAATGATTTTGCCAAAAGAAACCATAACCTATGGTTTGGTTTCTGCGTACCTATGCAACTACCTGTGCAAAATAAAAGTTAAAACAAATACAAATAAAGCTAACTTTTGCTTTAACCTTTCTACATGCTTAAATTTCCTTTTACAAGGCAGGGTCTCAGAGTCTTCAATTCTGCTATCCAATAGGCCACAATATACTTTGTTTCCGTAACGTGTCAGAGATAGAACACTGTCACAAAATACGGTATCTAAATGAATTTGCTTTTTAGCTTTGTTAGGTATAAAAAGACCCATGAATTTGTAAAGTCCTCATGAAAATAATTTAGTTATTTCATATCAGAAAAATAGTGTTCTAATATAGTTCTTCAAAAAAAATATTTGAACATTTCACTTATATATATTTCATACTTTTTGAAATATTAAAAAAAAATTTAAGATTTTCTTTAAATGCCAAAGACCTAAAGTTGACAAAGATTCAGAAGATAAATAAGTTCATGGATTTGAACATTTTATTCAGTTAGCAAAAAAAGTATGCAGAAAATTTTCACATAATGCATTATTATATTATGGAGGCTTTAAATCTTTCTTTATATGAAGCAAGAGGCATTTATTTACTTGAGAGAGGAAAATGGGGATATCCATTTGCCGTGTTATTTATTTATGCATTCTTTAATTGATTCTTCTATGTGCCCTGATCCAGGGCTCAAACCCAAAACCTTGGTATACCAGTACACCATTCTAACCAACTGAGCTACCTCGCCCGGGCCTGACACCGGCGGTTTTAAAACGGCTTCCCTTTAAACAGCCATTGCAAACAGGAGCTGTGAGGGCGAGGAAATGAAGAGCATCCCCAAACACCCTCTTCCACAGGGCAGCGCAGCTGCTTCATCTATTGCATAAGATCTCCAGTGTTCCGTGGCTGGAAAACTTTACAATCCATTGTGTTAATGGATTGTGTGTTAGCATATAAAGCAAGCAAAAGTGTACTTTTCCAAATCATTTGTTTTTATAACTTATAAGCAAGTCATCAACTGCTCATAATACAAACAAAATTGTGGTATGAAAGAATTGATCTAAAAATCTATACAGAGAACAACTGAAAAATAAGAAAGATTACTATGGGGGAGAATCACCTAAGGACTAACTAGCATGCTTTCTGAACAGATACTATTTGTGTGTACTTAAGAGCACCTTCTTTTGGGATCCAGGCAGTTCAGGTCTCTCGATCTCCTTTTCAGCCGGGATGCTTCAGCCCGGAGTTCAGTCTGTAAAGCTTCTCCGTCAGGGACACTTCCAGGCTCGGACAGAACCGCAGGGGATGGGAGAGGGCTCAGAACCGTGGGTACCGGGAAACTCTCTCTGGTGCAAGTAGTTTGAGTTTCATAACGAATAAGACGAGACTGAAGTTCAGAAAATCCCCCATCTCTTTCTAAAGATTTTTGGTCATCCAAGCAGTATCTAATCAAGAGAAAGATCATGAAAACCAAAAACCTCACAGCAATTAGAAAACAAAACATTTATTATACTTAAGAAGTTCTTATTTTACTTCCTAATAACCGTTAGAGGGTTGAGCGAATGGCTGATTTCCTTCACAAGTTTTTTTCTTGCTATTAGATGACATGGCAAGAGGAATCAGATTAGCCCAATCTGATTCCTCTTGCCATCACTCTCTCCTCTCCCTCCCTCTCTCTGAAATCAATAAAAACATATTTTTAAGAAATAAAATAAAAACGGTCTAGGTGATTTGAAAGAAGCTCCCACTTAAATATGACTAAGGTAAATTTAGTTCAAACAAAAGTCCAATCCGTAATCACTGCACAAAAGGATACCAGCTAAAAACATGAATACTTTAAATAAAAAGTTTAGCTAAATTAAAGTTTATTTAAAAAACATACCTAACTGTTTAATGTTAGAGGAAAAACATAACCTCTCAAATAAGAAATTCTTTCCCCAAATATCAGAAAGGAAAAGTCTGAACAAATGGCATTTATCTTTTCATGACTTAGTAGTTATCTCTGAATTGCCTGTTGTTAACAATTTACAATTCTGAATTATTTAGATTTAAATTAGCATTTTATATACGACTTCTTTCAGAAATGATATATTATTGGATGTTTTAGCTCCTATTACTCATTCTAAAGTCCTCAAAGCCAATGTCTTTTCCACACTCAGACAGAAGTTAATGTCTTAATTTCCTGTTGCATGTTCAATTATATTGTTCCTTGTAATTCTGAGTAGTATGACTCTGAGTACATATACTAGTTTATTAATATCTACTCCTATTATACACTAGGCTGTTTCCAGATGGGGTTATTATGAATAACACTGCTCTGTACGTTCTTGTACAAGTCCTTTTGCAAAGTTACATTTACAGTTCTCTAGGCAAATACCTCATAATGGAATTTCTGAGACACAGAATCTGAGTATTCAAGTTTTATAAGAACCTGCCAGATCCTCTTCTGAAGTATATATATCATTTTATACTCCCACCAGCAATGTGCAAGAGTTCTGATTGTGCCATAGATTGCCAACATCTATCAGTCTTTTCAATTTTAGCAATTCTGGTGGTGACATGGAATTTTATTTTATGGATGTTCTACATTTTACTTAACCAAGCCCCTAAAGTTAGACATATTTCTAAAATCTCTTATTTTAAATAACACTGTGAATACCTTTGCATAACTTTCAGTGTACATCACTAATTTCTTCATTAAGCTAAATTAAGCAAACAGATGTTATCAACATTTGAAAAATTTTCTATTCTACATTTCTTGCTAAGATCATTTCTGATGTTTATGTTTGACTTTGCTGTGTTGAAGGCGTTCTTTTTCACTGTGCACAAATTGGAAACAGCTGGTTAGAGAAAAATTATGCATTTTACATATTTTTCATATTCTTCCACTACTTCTAGTAGTTTTTCAAATCTTTTCTCAACAAAATAACAAATAAACAAAACTTTGGATCTCCTTTTCAATACATATAACTCTCAAACTCTTTAGTTTTCTTCATTTTAATTCACTAGCTAGAATATACAGGAAAAAATTTTTTTTTAAAAAAGTGGTGGCTGCAGATATCTTTTCTTGCGCCCGACTTTAATGGGAGTTTCATTTTGATGCTCAAAAATAAAGTAACTGAAGATTTTGCCTCTAGTGTCTTGATAGTATTTTAGTCTTTCAATATCTCTTACTTAAAATATTTCAAAGGACAGTTTATCAAAGGACAATGAGATTTTTTTCAATGAAACAAACCTAAGCATTTAATTTCATGCTTTAAAAATAAGTTTCTACTGCCTCTAAAATAAAGATCACTTTGTCTTCCATGTCAACAATAGTCTTCAATGACTTCATGATATGGCCTCATTATTATACAATATACTTATTACTTTTACTAAAAAATGAAACTGTGCTCTGCTGGCGTAGTTCAATGGTTGAGTGTCAACCTATGGATCAGGGGGTCACAGTTCAATTCCAGATCAGGACACATGCTTGGGTTGCAGGCTCATCCCGTGTGGGGCATGCAAGAGGCAGCCAATCAGTGATTCTCTCTCATCACTAATGTTTCTATCTCTCTCAACCTCTTCCTTCCTCTCTGAAATCAATAAAAATAAAAAAACAAAGAAGAAAACCCGGAAACTGCAATTTCCTCTTCCTAGAATTTGTATCTCTGTACTTCCTTCATCCCCCAGATATTCCCTTTTTGCCAGGTAAACTGCTAATCATTCTTTCAAACTTAGTTCCAACTTCCTCTTTGAAATTCTCTCAAATCGTTCCTGGCGTTAATTTGTTCCATCCACTGGGCCATTATCTATCTGTATTTCAACACTGTACTTACATCATGTGTTTCAAGTTTGCAAGCCAATCAAAAGAGTGTATTTCTGCTGTTCACTGATAAACTTAAAAGTTGCTTCTTAAAGATTAAGGTAAAATTAAATCCTTTTCTATTTCAATTTATGAAAAATCAGTGTAAAATAATGTTTTGCTTTAAGAATGTAAAATATTTTCCAAAATGAACCTATAGTATTGAAAATTTATTGTAAAACATATTATCGCCATCTTGTCCTTGTGAAATGGTAGCTGTGCACAAGCCCTTAGGAACTGCTAATACCTTTAAGCAAGAGAATCCTTTGAAATTTTATTCAAACTGGTCAATTAAGATTCTACAAAAATGCACACAATATGAACATGTTACAAATGGGAATACATTTCATCTAACAGTGTCTGAGCAATTACAATGTAATTAGGACCAGGGAATATTAATGTGACCAGAAATAGTGTAAATACATTTATAATACAGGTACCAAAATAATTCTGAGTAAAATATCTAGTAACTAACAGTTGGGTGTTTAAATGCTATAAAACTGATTAATTATCCAATAACCTTGTTTTTTTTACAATAGAAAACGAATTATTTGTGTATGTACTACTTTGTTTTTGACGTATTTTCTCTTTGGCTCTATATGTCAATTTATATAATTTTGTTATATTTACTCTTAAAATTCAAATAAGATAAGCAACATCAACAACATTCAGGAGAGTTAAGGGTAAATAAAAATCTTACTCAATTCCATGATAATGACACACTGAGGCTTTTTCAAAAGGTAAAACTTGAAGTTTCCGAGGACTGAGTTCTGGGGTCAGAACAAAAGTCTTTTCCCTGAAATAAAAATTTTTAAATTTGTATTTGAAGTTTATTTAATGACAAAGAAAACACTAGAAAATATCTAAATAAAGAAATCTGACTTCCCTCAGTTCAAATGAATCTTACATAGGGTAAAAATGAAGATATCAGAAAGGGTAATAAGAAAATGAAGCAGGAATAGGCCTGTGGACTTTTTCTGTGCCTCAGATTTCTGAAATTCTAATGTCATTTATTTCACAAACTATTCTGAAACATGGATAAATCAAGAATGGAAAATGATCTGTAGTGGAAATTCAAGAGGAAGTATTATTCTGGGATTTTTTTTTTCTCTTGATGTAGTGGACTAATGTCTTTGCATTTAGTTAAATTCTTTTTTTGCAGAGGAATAATTAAAGTCAACTTAAATCTCAAGTAAGAAAGGTTGTATTTACTTCCTACTATAACACATGGGACCTAGATTTTTCTTTACCCAGGAATGTAGTCATCTTGACATGGACTTTAAGAGTCAGCAAGCTTTTAAATATTACAGATTATTAGAGATTGATTTCCCTTCCTCTCTGAAATCAATAAAAGTATCAAAAAATAAAATTACACAATTTTTGTCATTAAGTCATTAAGACCCAGAGTCAAGATGCTCAAGTTTTTTAAGTCATTCCCTCTCTCTGTAGTGAACATGCATATGAAGGCAAAAGCTCAATTATTATCTCTGAAATATTACTACTTTCAAATAGAGCCTTTCCAAAAGTTACCTTGAAAATCAGTATTTGTCAAAATAACCTTTGTAAAAGTGACTGAAATGATCTATAATTTTTAGTGTCCTTTGGAAGGGTTTTCAAAATAATGAATTAACAAAAAGAAATTGGGGTTGTAAACAAATTCTTCAAATCTCACAAGTATTTGATGTCATGATTTTAGCTGCAATTAGTCAACAACAGCAACATCCAGTTTTTATTAACTAGTATCTTAGTAAAAATTACCTTGGAAGTCAAATTATCCATGGAGACAATGAATTCTTATTTACTAATGTTATGGTTTCAAAAGAATTTTTATTCCATTTTCCTATTTTTTCAGTTGAAAAACTGTTTTTTGTTACTATTAGGCATGATTGACAATGTCATGACAAGTAAATAGCAGCAAAATCAAAACTAGACAGTAATAAAGAAATGAGAATGAAAAATATGTGTTTGCAAGTCAAATTATAATTTTTTCTTTAAAAGGAACCATCCTTTGTATACAAAGTAGAAACTACTAACTTTCATAGGAAATATGCTAAACTTGCTTTTATTATTTGTTTCCCTTATGTTCAATATCACAAAACACTAGGACATTTGGTAAAATGTGAGGATTATGGCCAACTGGTAAACACTGAGATCAAATTGAGAATTTTGCCTAAGTGCACAGGATACCAGTAAATGAGGAAATGAGAATGCCATGTGTTTTTTCAATGACTTTAAAAAAATTTAATTGGAAATTATAAGTTTAATAACTTACCCCTTTTGAATCTGTAAAGGTTGAAGATCTCCAACTGGTAATCCATCTGAGGTAAAGAATTTCAGCAATTCTTTAGCATCCAATAATGTGGTCGAATCTCGTGCACCCTCCTTCTGGCCCAGCAACTGTTCAGATGAACGAGGAAATGAACCAGCTCTAGGAAAAAAATGTTATGTAGATTTATTAAAAGTGGATTAGAATCCCTGAAAATCAGGAAAAGATGACATGAGCAGAAACCAGAAAAAAATACACAAAGAAAATTGAAGAACTACACATTTAGGAAGAAAATGAAGTAAAATCTTTGCAAATCATTTAATATCAAAGTATATTTTTAAAAACCTGTACAAGTAGATGACAGTTACCATAACTTGCAGTTACCATGTCAACAAGGCTACTACTTAACTAAATTATATTCTTATAAACTAGAGGCCCAGTGCATGAAATTGTGAACGGATGGGCCAGCAAATGGGGCAGATGGGTACTGTGGGAGATTGGCAGGCTGGGGGTAGGGGCCACAGGCAGTGGGAGTACATTGACCACCAGGGGGAAGCTCCTGGGTAAAGCATCTTCCCCCTGTGGTCAGTGTGCATCACAGCAGCTGGTTGTTAGGTAGCTTAGGCTTTTATATATATAGATGGATGGCATGACTAATTATTTACTAGCATGAAGTTACCAAATTCATAAAATTTAAATCGAAACTCTCTTGTATATTCTGAAACCCCACAATATTGTAAATTTTAAAGGTAGAGATAGGATGTTCAAATTTTCTATGAACTTGAAAGATTACTTGAAGCACAACCATGAAATAAGGCAGTAATCAGAAATCTCTACAAGGTCTCTTCTAGCCATGATTATACCACTATGACTAAGCACTGAATCATTATTATATCTGACATATATGCAGGACTGTATACCTTTCAAGCTATTTTACATACAATATAGTCTTAATCCTCATACATTTTCTTATAAAAGACAGGATAGGTCTTACTTCAAAATCAAGTTAGCACCTGAAAATAAGTACTTTGTAGAGTGAAAATCAGCACACCACGCCTAAAAAAATCATATTCCTATTTTTCAGATAAAGACACTAATGCACATGGTTTGCATTACAAAACCAGGGTGACACAGCTATTTGAAATGACAGCCCGAAGTAGACTGACTCTAAATTGGGTACTATTTCTACTCCATCACTCTATAAATCTGAAAAGCTCTTAAAAAGTTTTAGAAACTGGAAAGAGAAAAACACTTTAGTTTCAGAGCATTTTAAAGGTTATATCAAGTACTGAGTCACAGATTTGCTATGGCCTGTCACCAAAGCATACATAAAACCTTACAATACTGGCACAGAAAACTATTACCTGACTTCATATCAATTCAACTCTTTCCTGGGTATTTTCATAGTCAAATCAAGCACTTTTACTGATAATTATGATAAAAAATGATGGCATTATGGGTCAGGACTGACATTTTTATACATTAAAGACCAATAATGTACTGATGGTGCCCCTTTCCCCTGCCCATTCTCTTTATTTTTAAATTGAAAATATAAATCTAATAAAAACAGTCAGACAAGAAAATTCTCAACTATGTTCTATGAACTTTATATTCCAGGAGGGCAAGAATTGCATTATGAGTTTAATTTAATTTCTATATAGCTATTCTCTAATAGTAACTCACAAAGGGTTCCTAATGAAAATTACTCTCAATCACTTTACAGGCTGAATAGAAGGGGAAAATGTATAATTTGCATTTATATAGAGTCCTGGACACAAGGATATCAAAGCAATTTAAAAGCCCGTTTGTGATAAATTACATTACCAAATATGTCTTAGATTAAAAAAAAAAAAAGAAACAAACACCTAAACATTGACAGTACTTTATCTTCTTCAGTGTTTTCAAACTTGCAAAGTATTTTTTTCATAACATCATCTCATTAAATTTTTCACAATTTTGAAGGAGAACTCATGTTGACATCCCCATCTTAAAGATGAAGTCATAGGCCCTAGCCAGTTTGGTTCAGTGGATAGAGCATAGGCCTGTGAACTGAAGGGTCTCAGGTTTGATTCTGGCCAAGGGCACATGCCTGGGTTGTGGGCTTGATCCCCAGTAGGTGGCTTGCAGGAGGCAGCTGATCAATGATTCTCTCTCATCATTGATATTTCTCTCTCTCTTCCTCTCCCTTTCTATCTAAAATCAACAAGAATATACATTAAAAATGTAAAAAAAGGATGAAGTCGCAAAGTCACAAACAGGTGTCTAAAACCAAATTCTATGACTTCTGAATATCACCACATATTGGTCATTTGTTTTCCAGTTTAACCTGTTTTAGCAAAAAACCAATTCTGGAAATATGCAACAAAACTTGCCCACAACCAAGATGATATCTCCCATATTTTGAAGTACTCAAGTATTGAGCATTTTACTTTGTAAATCTCATTGTGAGGTATAAAAAGAGTTCATTGATGATAATTTATAGACTCATAATCCCAGCTCATGATTTAGTGCATTGATTGACATGAAACAGGAGAAAGAAGGTGAGCAGTGAAAGGAAATAAACATACAAATGTATAATGAGGTAGAAAAGGTAGAATAAAATAAGTCTCACGAATAATGCAGTCCTGAGATCCTTAAAAAAGAAAGATAATGAGTTGCAGCATCTAAAAAAAGGCTTAAGAGAAAGATGATATTTGATCTAGACCTTGAATGACAAATAAGTTTCTAGTCCAAGATGGTGGATAAACATACATTAATCTTTCCATTCCACAAAGTGAAATCAAGATATTGACGTACAGGATACTAAAAGTCATAATAGGGCTTAAAAAAAAAGGAATAAATTAATGGTAGATCAAAGCGTTCAATGAATTTCAAAAATTTAGAAACTAGAGCAAAAGCCTCTAAGAGAACTAGAGGAAAAAAACTAGAAAACAAGTAGAATCTGTCTTCTTTTTCCTGTCCTACAAAGCCACAGCGATTCTAGTTGTGGGTTTACAGTGTTCAAGTAGAAAGGATGAGTCCAAAGGCAAAAATCAGATGACATAATTTAAGAATCCTCTGTAAGAGTTGTTTAAGTACCTCCCACACCACACTTCATCCTATACTTTTTACCTCCAAATTAAAGATAAAGAAACTGCTCTTTGAAGAACAAGAACTAGGTGCCTTCCCCACTGTCAGCAGTGACATCCCCAGAATAAGTCCCCCTCAGTGTAGTTGGTAAAGACCAAGTGAAGCTTGTCAGGCAATTTCTACCCTGCATCACCTGTCTCCCAAATATTAAACCAAGAGACAAGAGGTTGGGAACAAGACTACACAAATATAGGGAAAGTACAACTCAACTACTTATGCAGAGCAGCCAAGTACTACATTCTTAGCTATGAAAAAACAAACCACCAGACACTGGAGAAAAACTACACATAAAAGAAAAACACCAATGGAACAAAAAAACCAGATCCAAAGAATAATGAGATCGTTCAACAAACAGATAAAACAAGTTAAAAGACTTTAATATCATCCGTATAGTATTTTCTCAGTCCTCAATATCAATCAAGAAGAACAAATTGCTAACGAAAAAATGGGGAAGGGAACAAACAAGAATTATTAGGAATTTAAAATATGACTACATAAAAATTTAACAGAAAACAATGAAAGCAAAGGTAAAGAAAATATCCTAAAACATAGAGTAGAAAAAAGATAAAGGTATGGATTATTGAGGGAAAATCAAAGTAGAATGACAAATGAATCCATGATGCCTAATGTTAAAATAGAGATCATGGAGATAAGAAAGAAAAAAATGGGAGAATATTCTCTAGGAAATAACAAGATTTTTTCTCAGACAATAAAAATCGGACAAAAGTCTTAAGATTAAAATATCTCACTCCATGATGGCCTCATGTAATTTCAGAACATTAAGCAAAACAGAAAATTCTAAATGTTTGAAAAAAAAAAAAAAAAAAGAAAAAAAAACACCTATTAAGGAACAAAAATTGAACTGTCATCAGACTTCTCAGTAAGACATGAGAGTCAAGAAAATACAGAATTAAACTAGAAATGTGATAAAAAGAAATATTAGGGTAACAGTTGTTCAGGTAAAGAGTGAGTCCAAATTAGAGTAGGTGAGAGAAAATGATTTCAGAAAAGAAAAAAAAATAATTGTCTATTGCAAATAACATAAGGCTCAGAAGTAGAAGGATTAAGTGAAGAGAAACAGAGATGTTCATTTCCTCACCCTTTACAATGAAAAAATAAAAAATCGGTAAACCACCGAAACCGGTTTGGCTCAGTGGTAGAGCGTCGGTCTGCAGACTGAAAGGTCCCAGGTTTGATTCCGGTCAAGGGCATGTACCTGAGTTGCGGGCACATCCCCAGTAGGGGGTGTGCAAGAGGCAGCTGATCGATGTTTCTCTCTCATCGACGTTTCTAGCTCTCTATCTCTCTCCCTTCCTCTCTGTAAAAAATCAATAAAATATATTAAAAAAATAAAATAAAATAAAATAAAAATCGGTAAACCATCTAAAATGGACAGAGAGAAGCTGAAGTTCCTTTGTGAGGAAATTGTCCTTTTGCCCATCTTCTTTCTTCCTCCTGATCTATAAACATGAAAGACACTCAGGGAATGGTCTTAAGCCCTTTTCTTTTCTCTGTACGGTCTCACCAAGTGATTTCATCCACTAGTGTTTATTTAAAAATCTCTTTTGATACGACCTCCAAATTGACTTCCAGATTTCTCTAGTCCACTTGCACAATCCATAGAGCAAACTTAGCATTCTTTATTTTTCTCCCTAAAGTTGTCCTTACCCAACTACCCACCAATTTTCCCCATCCCATTCATGTGAACACCACTCACTCTGTTGTTCAGACAGAAATAGAAATTTCCCTGGAAGCCTCTCTCTCTCTCCCCTCCATATCCAATCCATCACGGAGTTTTTTTTTTCTGGCTTACCACCAAAATATATTCCAAATCTCTTCTCTACTGCTACTCTAGTGAGCAATCAAAGTTATCTCTCACACTCTAGCCAGTTTGGCTAAGTGAATGGACTTTTAGCCTGTGGACTGAAGGGTCCCAGGTTCGATTCCAGCCAAGGGCACATGCCTAGATTGTGGTTTATATCCCTAGTAGGGGGCATGCAGGAGGCAGATGATCAATGATTCTCTCTCATTGATGTTTCTATCTGAAATCAATAAAGAAATATATATTTTTTAAAAAGTTATCTCTCACTTTGCCTAGAGAAATGCCACCTAAGTTACCTCTTTATTCCTAATATTTCCTCCTGAAATCTATTTGCCAGAAAAGAGACAAAATAATTTTGCAAAAACATATCGCATCATTCTTTGGTATAAAATCCTTCAAAAGTTTACCAATCCACTGACAATAAATTCTAAAATTGTATAATCTAGAAGATACTTCACTTTATTCACTAGATCTCAGTACAAATGTAACCCCCTTGAAGAGCTGTCTGCCTCTCAGAGTTAGTTAAATAGCTCCTACATCAACATAGAAGAATATAAAGCACAAGTAGTTTAAAGTGGCTCAAAGGGGAATACTCGTACTTCATTCCATGTGTTCCTGTGTTGTTTAAGTTTTTCTTACATATCCATATAATTATATAAATCTATGAAAGATGGTCTGACAAGCCATTCACTGAAGTGTTTACTGTGATTATGTACACTGAGGGTAGAAGGCAAGGGAAGAAAGTATTTTCTCAAAGTACTTCTCTGTAATGCCCATCCATCCACCCATCTCTTTATCTATCTATCTATCTATCTATCTATCTATCTATCTATCTACTTATAATAGTTAGGCATATATTTTTTATAATAAAACTATAAAAAATTTAATATCTCAGACCTGGCTGGTGGCTCAGTTGGTTGGAACATCATCTCATACACCAATAAGTTGTGATTCAATCCCCAGACAGGTACAGGAAGCAACCAACCGATGTTTCTCTCTCACATCAATGGTTTTCTCACTCTCACTCTCCCTCTCTCAAATCAATAAAAACATATCTTTAGGTGAGGATTAAAAAACAAAAACAAACAAACAAAAAAAACCCACTAGTATCTCATAAACAAATGTAAGGTATAGAAAAGTTCACTTTAAAATACTGAGCTGTTGTCCTGGCTGGTGTGTTCAGCAGTTAGACATAGGCCCACAACCCGCAGGATCTTGGATTTGATTCCCAGTCAAGAGAAAACACCTGGGTTTATTCCTAGGCCTTGGTCAGGATGTATGCAGGAGGCAACCAATCAATGTGTCTCTTTCACACCGATGTTTCTCTCTTTCCCCCTCCCTCCCTCCTTTCCATTCTCTCTGAAAAGCAATGGGAAAAATATAATGGGGTGAAGGATTAACAAAAATCAGACAATAAAATACTGAGCTGTTTAAATATTACCTCATTTTTTGTTTAGCTTTTTCAAATGTTTCCAAATTTTGAAGAGCATGCCTTTCTGGCCATTCCAGAGGATTGGTTTCCACTAGACCTGAAGAAATAGAATCCAATGGACTGGTATCTAAAGAGAAAGAAATACAAATAAGCACTAAAAAGCACTAATACACCGAAGTTAACTACATTAAAATGTATACACGTAGATACACTCATACATCCGTGGGGGGGGGGGGTGGGGGAAGAGAGGGGGATTGGGGGGTTTGTGCTTGAGTGTGCATAAAGGCATGTTGGATTCATTGTACAATTCTTACCGCAGACATTCAGTGAGGCTCTCTGATAGCCTGAAATGTGCAAATACTTATAAAGTATTTTGGAAACAAACAAACCAGTATTAAGCTTTCTTTATTTTTATCTCCTCATAATAAAAATACATCTCTCAAGACCTACATCAAGTCTCTTAGCTCCTAACAAAGAGTTCTGTAACTGTCCTAGTTATATTTCTCTCTTCAAAATTCATTATGTATCTACCTAACAAATATACGGCATTTACTTCATACAGGCAACTTCCTAAGCCATTTATAAAGAATATAATCCTCATGACAATCTGTTATCCCTAATTTAAAGATAAAGAATTGGGGCTCAGATTGGTTAGAAAACTTGCCCAAGCTCACATAGCAAGCAAGCTGCAGAGCTGGGGGTTCAAACTCCTTACTCTTGCTCCAGAGCCCATGCTGTAATCAGGAAGCTATGCACTGTCACTTATTGAACACATCTCCCAGTTATAAGTAACCCCATACTGTCTCCAACATCTTTCAGATTATTCCAAACTGCTACTTAACTTTGGGACTGACATGTGAAAATGATGAAATGCTAACAGCAATACAAATAATAGCTTAATATTTTGGGGACACTTATTATATTCTAAGTGTTATATATGTATCAATTCATTTTTCACAATAAGTCTAGTGAGTAATATTCTTATCCCCATTTTAACATGAGGAAAGAGGCACAGAGAGGTTTAAGAACTTGCCCAGACAGTCAGCAGAGACAAAACTGAGACTTGAACCCTGGCAGTCTAGCTCCAGAGCCTAATAAGCTCTTAAACATACTCTAGATGCTAAATTTATACTCTACTTTTTAAGTAGATCAGAAGCCCTTAGAAAGACCCAAATTTTTACTTCTTTCTGTACCTTCATGATGTCAAACAGACAAAAGGTATTCAATACACATTATTGTTAACTTGATTCTTCAGTCATATTCTTATTGATCTATGGAATAAAAATGATTCTCACAGAATAAAAAGAAAAGTTATCCTGTAAAATGCTAGGCAATCTTCAAATGTTTTCTTGTTACAGCTTGAAAAGCTTCACTCTACTCAAATTCACCACAACAATAGAAACCAGGAAAAGAGAAAGAAATGCAAGTTAATATAGAAATGATTTCCTGCTCCCTCAGTAAAGCTTGGCAACTGTTCCTGCTACAATGAGTACCAAATGTGGAACATCTTATTACTAATACTAAAAGCCCGGTGCATGAAATTTGTGTATGGGGCGGGGATGGAGGAGGCAGTGTCTCTCAGCCCAGCCTGCACTGCTCCAATCTGGGACTCCTCGAGAAATGCTCGTTCCCAACTGCTTGCCTGCCTGCCTGATTGCCTCTAATTGCTTCTGCCTGCCAACCTGGTCATCCCCTAACCACTCCCCTGCCAGCCTAACTGCTCCCCTGCTGGCCCAATTGCCCCTACCTGCCCTCCCCTGCAGACCTGGTCATCCCCAACTGCCCTCCCCTGCTGGCCTGGTGGCTCCCAACTGCCCTCTCCTACAGGCCTGGTTTCCCTCTACTGCCCTCCCCTGCAGGCCTGGTCATCCCTAACTGCCCTCCCCTGCAGGCCTGGTTTCCCCACACACACACACATCTCTCCCCTGCAGGCTATCTTGTGATGGCCATCTTGTGTCCACATGGTGGCAGCCATTTTTGACCACATGGGGGCCAGCCATCTGTGTGTATAAGTGATGGTCAATTTGCATATTACCCTTTTATTAGATAGGATATGTGGGTTTTTTAAAATTTCTTTATCACATATTTGTCCTCAACTCCCTCCCCATTTCAATCCCCCACCCCGCCCCACTCATTGCCTTACCCCCCTATTGTCCTGGTATGTGGTTTCTAACTACATTAAATTTCCATGTAGGTTCTACTTTTCTCACCTATGAAAACATAGTATAATAGAAATCCACCCTTTCTAGCAGCTTAGTGAGAGTAAAATCTCCTTAAAAGCCTCTCCCCTCTGCTCAAAGACAACTTTATTGACCATGCTTTCTGAAAGAAGTAACCAGAAAATGTTTAATCCTTAAATGATGAGAAATGCAGCTCACTATTTATACACACACACACACACACACACACACACACACACATATCCAGTAAGTCACTTAACGCCATTGATAAGTGCTGCAACTTTAAGTGAAATGACATTAAGAAACCAACTTTACCATAAGCTAATTGATATAAACCAGTTAGGTTTCTATGGCATCTCATCAACGTTCTAAGGAAATGATGTTGAATGAAATGATGTTACTCGAGGATCTGATGTACTTGTATATACAAATATATATATCATTATTTAAGTTTATAAGATGCATTTTAATTTGATCAATATACTTTATTAGTTTTAATAATAAAGAGTAACTGTCACAAATGCCATACAAAAAAGAACTAATATTTAAAGTAACAAAATACTTACCATTTAACAGGTTGGAGGTAATAATTTTGTCTGTTTTTCTTAAAATTGTTTTAGGAATAATAGCATCAAAATGATCTAAAAAGCGTTCCCTCGTGAGTGTTAACAGACTTTTTAGTTCATCAACAGAAACCACTTCAGGCTGCTCTGCCAACTTTCTCCTCTCTGGAAGACAACAGATCAACAGGACCAACTACATTACCATTACTTTAAATCCTCTCTAAAGCCCATCTTCTATGCATTTTATGGGAAATGTTTTCAAAACTGAAATAAGTGAATTTATCCAGCAAACAACATTCCTGTGTAAGCCTACTTTCATTTTAATCCCATTTGTAGACGGAAAAAGAATAATTTGTTAACACTGAAAGGTGAGAAATGGTAAAGAAATTTTACAAAAGTTTTCCAAAAAATCTTGCAGAATCTTATGCTATTATTTTGCAAAAATAAAATCTGTAAGACTTTATTGAAATAAGTTACATAAATTTGGCCACTGACACTTATTTCTTCTCTTTCCCAAAACTAAAATCAGAGTAAAGGAATAAGAAAAGACAGCAAAAGAAGAAACAATAAAGAATGACAGTTTTCAGTACATCTTGGAAATGAGATTATGGTGGAGTCAGCAAAGCAGAAAAGGTCATGAAGCCATTTGTCTATAATAAAGCAAAATATAAAATACTCTAGAAAAAATTAGGAGAAATAAAACTGCTGTGAACATATGAATTTAATGATGTGTGGCAGAAATATTGGAGCCTCTGGAAAACATAACAGTATTTAGTTTATACAGAAGAATAGACAGATTAAAAAAAAATGATCATCCACCAAAAGCAAAACAAAGATTATGCAAGAAGAGTTGCCTATCATCATATATGACAGTAAACTTCTATACAGTCATAGTAATATTAAAACCATTGATTTAACCAAAATTCATGACTTCACTGTAAAGAGTGTGAAGAGAAAGTGAAGCTGATGTGGGAATGCTTAACATCTCAGATGTTAAGATGATGACTGAAATTTGTAAATCCAGAAATAGCTGCCTACACATATTATTTAGAAAACTGAAGGAAATTTCAGAAAAACTAGCTGAAGAGATGAAGGGATTTGCTTATGGGCAGAGATTGAATGATAGGGGAGGGAGGAAGAGGAGGGCACTGGTGTTTTCCATATTAAGTTTTCCAGTTCCATTTGAATTTTTTAAACTATACCCATGTATTGCTTTTATGAAATTATTTCATTTTTAAAACACTTTTGGACTAATAACATTTTCTCCTATAATAAACCGGAAAGTATAAATTCCTAGAGAATCAATTCAACAAACATTTATTATGTACTACTTGCAAGCGCTGTGCTGGGCCCTTAGGCACACAGGAGGAAAGCGCATTCATTACTCCAGGTGAGGTTGGTACATAAAAGCACAAGGGAACAGGCTGAACAGTAGTAGCCGGACTTGTGGTTCTACTTTAGACCATCAGCTTTATGAGAAATGCCTGTGAAATCCCACCTCACCAATGTGGATACTGGGAGGGTCATTCCAGTTCTCATCCAAGATAAGTAACATATAGTTTCTGTAGTCAAGAACACTAGCAATGGTAAAGTAACAGTAGTACTACATGCAGTTTTTATTACATCTTAGAAAATAAAAAGCTGCTAGGAGCATCCGAAAACAAAGTTATCAAGATTTCCTTTCATCTGAAAGGTGTACAATATGTAATATGCTTTGGAAACTAGCCCTACACTTGTTATTAACTCTAAAAGTATACTTAATTAATGAGCCTGACCTATACTTATTAAAACTGTCCAACTAGAGAGCAGGATAAGACTTCTGATTGATCTGGATGACTGAGCAGTAGGGAGAGAAAGTATATAAGATTAACAGGGGTTTGTGCAGGAAAATTTACTAAAGTGAAGATAATCTCTATACAAATGATTTTGTATACAAATGGTAGATAAAAACGTAGAAGAAATATAATGGATTAAAGTGAAAAATAAATTAGCAGCCGAAACCGGTTTGGCTCAATAGATAGAGCGTCAGCTTGGGGACTGAAGGGTCCTGGGTTCGATTCCGGTCAAGGGCATGTACCTTGGTTGTGGGCATATCCCCAGAAGGGGGTGTGCAAGAGGCGGCTGATCAATGAGTCTCTCTCATCAATGTTTCTAACTCTCTATCTCTCTCCCTTCCTCTCTGAACAAAACCAATATAATATATTAAAAAAAAAAAAAAAAAAAAAAGAGAGAGAGAAAAGGAAAAAAAAGAAAAATTAGCAAAAGAATGCCATTCCAAAAAAACTTGGTAATAACTAAGAGTTTATTAAAGAAAAATCCAGAGCAGAATATCTAAAGGATCAGTTGATGAGTATCAATAAGGTTTGCGCTGGGGTCTATAAATGCTAAAAAGATTGAAAAGCTTATAGTAGTGACCACAATATTGGAACAAAATAACAGTACGGCTGTTTGAGTGTGTTTTGAATCATACTGAACAGTCTTTTATTTAAAAACTGGAGACCCCCTACCTGCCTTTGCCTTTTGCCTAGAGCTGTGGTATCCTTACATCGCTACCTGTGTTACAGCTCAGCTGCTGGTACTTCTACATTTTCAGCATTTATTTATCACTTATGGTATTCCCCCTTCCCCAACACCCATACCCCCAGAGCTTCCAGTCATAACTGTAGGCAGATATGAGGTTTCAGCTGCTAGTATTTCCCTTCCAACTATGTAGGAGGGATAATCATACTGGGGTTCACTCTTCTTACTCAATGGAGAGATGCACCAGCTTCAAAGAGTGGCCTGTCCTTCCACTCTGACAGTGTTTCTGATGGGAAGGGTAAGGGAGCGAGGTGAAGATGAAAGGAAGGGGAAATGTTGAAGGAACTGAGTTTAAAAGACTACAGGAGGCTTATGATGGCAAGGAATCAGAGCCTACAAAAAGGTTAGCAGGAACAGAACAAAATAAAGGTTTTCCACTTGCAAAAATACTAATATTTCTATTTGTTGCTTTATTTTTTGCATTTAACATGTACTACTTTTTATTGAAACTGATTTGCCTTTTTAATTATATTTTCCTTAAGCTAATATCATTTTCATAGTGGAAAAAAATCAATGGTTGGAGAAGGTCAAGACTACACAATTATCCTGGCTTTGTACAACTGAAAAAGAAGGTAATTCTTATATGAATAACTGAGACCAAATATTCTAAAATTATTTTCCATTGAGCAAAACAGGCTATTTAATTCAAGATATTTTTAAAGTGCTTTCAAAAATGATAGTTTTTACTTTATAATGCATATATTTAATTCCAATATTATTGTTTTCTATAGGTAACTAGTGAGGCCTTACAATTTGATTTAATTTCTTAGAAATTCTATCAATTAATTAGCTTAAAATAAGTTCATATTAGGTACTGAATGTCTATGAAAAAAAAATGTTATGAATGATAACCAAGTTAACATTTAGTATATGAGAAAATAAACTACAACCCTTGGAAAGGTGTCAATATCTTGAATAAGGAAAAATCCATAATGCCAACTTCATCCATTATGTGACACTTGTTTAATTATTATTGGTAGTCATGACTAAAATTTAAGAATTGATGTTCAAATTAACATATTAATTTTTCCGAACGTGTATTTTCTTCTCTTTGCAGTTTCTATTCTCTTATGACAGCTAAAAATATATAAAAAGACATTTTAGGAAGAGCTCTATGTTAACCAGAATACAATTTAGGTGTATCCTAGCATACATTTAAAAATGTTGTACAGAATTTTCCTGAAGAAATATTTCTATAAATGTTAACTGTGATGAACAAATAAATAGGAATATTTTAATCTGATGGGAGAAAAGTTGCTAACTTTTTCTACTCTTATATCACTTCTACAAGAACAAGAATAGTTCTACAAATGAGTGTCTTACCTAAAAGACAAAATACATAAGAAAAAGTGTGGAAATAACAATGCATTATGTCTGAACAGGTTCTTACAGTAGAATAAAATGTACAAATTGTTACTTACTCAAACATTCTTTCAAAGCCAGAGCTTGAACTCTGGCTAACTGCTTCTCTCTTTCTATAAGCTGCTCTCCAGAAAAATGTGGTAGCGACGAGAAGTCAAAAGGAATGCCTGCAACACACAAAAAAGTTAGTATTAAAGATATTCTATGACAACAATTTTAATATTCAGTTCCCAGCTAATGCGCTAATATATAATTTAAAAAGTAAAAGCCAATTACTCATCTCTCTTGATCTTGCGTATTTCCAATTAAATAATTAAGCTTCAAAAAATAAACATTAAATTATTGTGCATTTTAAACTTTGATTTGCTTCTTAAACTGAGGGAATTTAGGTAGTAGAATTCCCTCATCACATTTTCTTCCATAGGCTCAGCTACTGAAACTCCTACAAAGAAGGGAGTGTGGAGATGATAAAGGGAATAGAGAGGGTCAAACATATGGTGATTGAAGGAGACTAGACTTTGAGAGGTGAGCACACAATGAAGTACACAGATATTGTATTATAAAGTTTTATACACCTGAAAATTACACAATGTTATTAACCAATGTTACTCCAATTCATGTAATTAAAATTTTTTAAAATGGTAATTAAAAAATAAACTCCTACACAAAACACAAACGGAGTAGGGTTAAGTCTCTAACGATGGCCCCAACTACCAACATGTCCTGCTAGTCACCCATTATGCAGCCCTTCCACAATGAGTCCTGGCTAGCCCGTGAAGCCAATAAAGTATGGTAAAGTGACAGTGAATGATCTCTAGGCTAAGTCACAGAAAGCCTCAAGGCTTCCTAGAACAATTGCTCTAGTTTTCACATCACTGGAGTACCAGCTGTGTATCTGCAATCAGATGTGGGACTTAAACACAAATACATCGGGCTGAGCCCAGTTGGCAGGACTATGAGACATAGTAATAAAGTCATTTTTAAGCTAATCTTGCGGTGGTTTGTCACACAGTAATAAACACCAAAGCATGCAGCTTGAAGAGAAAAGAAAAGGTGAGCAATAAAACAGAATAAAATGCCTTAGAGAAAGTAAATGAAAATGAGAAATTACAGGAAAATAGTATGTGTTTAAAGTGAACTATACTGAAAATGTCCTATTTGGAATCGAGGGCTGATGTAGTAAAACTTACTGGGTACAATGTAAAGGGATTAATTCTCTAAATTCTAAATTGTTCAAATACGTAATACTGTGTTTGAAATAAACGATAAATTTACTGAAAGTGAAATGGAGTTTGGGGAAAACAAGTTCATTAAAAACCACATAAGTTAATTATACCTATATATCCAAACAAATGTAAAAAATATTTTCCACTCAAGTTAACACTTACTCAGTTGGGTTTCTCTTGTCCTTGCCTTCATCTTTCCATGAATGAAACTGAGGGCAAATGAGCCATTGATCTGGTTGGCTGAGTAAATCAGTGTGGCTTTGCATTTTCTACTGCCATTGCCTTGTAACAAGAGATAATAGCTAGAACACTCTCCTTTCACTTCAACATCTGGAACTAAACAAAAACAATTTTTAAGTATGTAAAAATTCACCATGCAGCAAGGCAGAATCATACACTGGACCCAGAGAATATAATGACATCCCATGTTTTTTTTAAAACAAACTGTTACCCAATACATATGGAGCTAACAGTTCAATTAACTGAGAAAGCTATTAAAATTAGGGAATAAAAATATTAAACTAAAATAGAATCTGATACTCATAATAAAAAGAGATACAAATTTTAATTTAAATTAAAACTGTGTGTACTCATTTATTAACTTTTGATGTAGCTCAGAGTTCCATGATATTTTTCTTATACAACCCACTTATAATGTATCAACTATTATTTCTAACTTCAATTTCTTTAAAGGGGAATAAAGTGAACCCTGTAGGCATGCACAGCTCAACTGGTAGGAGCAGCAGTGTACATATATATACTTAAGAGTAGCTTTTTGCTCCTTTCAGTGGGCACCCATAATGCATTTTTACAGAGGGAATGGAAAGCATTCATTAATCTGGCATGCCAGTTACATGAAGGTCAGTTAAGACAGCTTCTAGTATATTTTAAAAACAAATCAACTGAGGGTTATAGTGAAGGTCGAAGAAAAACTGTGATGCCTTTGAAAGTAAAAATAGAAGCAGAGTCCTTTTTACTGAAGATGGTGAATTGGACATAAGCATTTATTTTCACTATCTCCTAAAATTCCATGAAATTAGAATAAAGAGAATTTTAAAATAGCATAAATCTCCAAGGACTAATATCTGAGAGAAGAGAATAATGACTAGATTTTGAAAGTAGGAAAAGAAGTGAACAAATGGTACAGGCCTCAGTCTCTCAATTGCTATGGAAGCTGAGAAAAACAGAGAAGAAAGCTTAGAAGCAAGACAATTTACAACCCCTGACAGGAGACTCTGGGATGGTGGTCCTAGATGGCACTGGAAGCAAAATAAAGTGAAATAAAAGACCATTGAAAGTCTGTTTGAGAGGAAATTTGGCTTCCTGGTTCCTCCTTGTTCTACTCAGGTTAATGGTAGTCCTTTCCCCAGCCCAGAAAACCAGAAGTTAATCCTCCCGTGAAGATAAACAATGTGTCTCTGGCCTGGGAGATATAAACAAAGCTTAGGGTCAGAGTTATCAGTGGATTAAGTGAATTATTCTATACAGAACATTGGGGCCCTTTTCTCTTCATCTACATAACTTCCAGAATTGTGGAAGCCAGATAGCAGAACTGTGGTCAGCATTAGGGGATTGACTAAAAATATAAAAGGGCTTTTATAACAAAAAAAACCAAAAAACAAAAATCCCAATATTGGTGCCACCTAATGTAATGTTGCAGCAAGATCAGTCTAACATGAAGATCCCAGTCAACAAGCTCTACCATACACCCAGTTTTCCAAACAGCTTTCTAGTGCTCTCTCTTAAATATGAGCAGACAGCCAAACATTATGAGACTTAAGGAAAGTCTTTATTATGAAAGCCAGATGCCGAAAGAAACAAACAGAAAAAAAAAGGGGGGAGGGGGGATTGTAGAGAAACAAAGAATATGGTGTAAAAAGAAAATCACGACAAAAACAGATCACTAAAATCCTCAGAGATGATATTGCATCAACTACGTAAGAACAGAAAATTACAAGTAAAAGAACAGTAACTTAGAAAGAGCTCATGGAAATTAAAATTAAGAAAGCAGAAATAAGATTTCAATAGGGTCGAAGATAAAGTTCAATGAATCTATCAGAAAATAAGAGAAGACAAAGAAATATAAAATAGGAGAGGAAGAGAGAAACCCAAATCAGGAAGTACAGCATCCAAAAGAAAGAACATTAAAAAATGGAGGGAAGGAAATTATCAACAAAATAATTATAACAACATTGTCCCAATAAAAAGACAAGCTTCCAGGCATGCTGAGTGCCCAATACAAGAATAAAAATAGATCCCTGGCCGAGTAGGTCAGCTGGTTGGAGTCTCGACCCATGTACCAAAAGGCTGCAGGTTTGATTCCCAGTCAGGGCACATATCCAAGTTGCTGGTTCCATCCACAGTTGGGGTAACTATGGGAAGCAACCTAATGATGTTTCTCCCCCCGTCTCTTCCCCTTCCTCTTTCTCTAAAATTAATAAAGTGCATATCCTCTGGTGAGGATTTTAAAAAAGCAGAATAAAAATAGATTCTACAAAGTGCCAGAGAAAATACTTCGTCCCTCCCTCCCTTCCTTCCTTCTTTCCTTCCTTCCTGTGAGAATGGCACTAGAATTCTAAACAGCGCCAAAATTGGAAGACAATGGAGAAATGTATTCAAAATTCTTATAAACACTAAGAATTATGCAATACAAAAAAAACACACACAAACTTTTGCAATTAGCTTGCAATAGGAATGTTACTCCTATTCACAAACACCAATCTTAGAAAAAAAATTTAGATAAAGATTACAAAGAAAAAATACTTACTAGTTGTCTTTGAAACTAAGATTTTTCCCCAGACTTGCAATGACCTTAATTCATTTACCAATTTAGCACTTTGCAAACTCAAATTACGTATCTTCTCAATGCCAGATATACTTTCTATATTTACTTAAAATCCTATCACCTTTATTAGAACTTTAATCACTGAGCCTGTAATTACAACACAATCTTATTTTCCATAAAAGAAAAACATTTATTTTACAGAATTCCCCTATCCATAATGACTGTGCAGTCATTTAAAAAATGATGTTCCAGATTTGGCAGGTGTTAGCTGAAGACTTATTAAATAATTTTATGTAAATACAGAGCAACAGACTTATAATTAGCATAGTTATTCAATTCTCATAGCTTTTCCGGAAGAAATAAGGGGAAATGATTACAACAGAAAATTCTTCTCTATTTCCATCTGTTATTTTTACTCTGTCAGCTTCTAAAAGATTGATTGGCTTGCATGTTCCCCCTCCACCAAAACCAAATATCCATTTGGATCCACTACATAGGCAAGATGGGAGAAACAGAAATTACATGTTTCCTTCAGTTACATCAAATTTTATAATATGTAAACCATAATGAAAACCTGTATCATTACTATAATAGTTTCATTCACAAACAAAATTTTAGCATAATAAAAACTGAGCCATATTTTACATCAATACATTGCTCAGCAGTTCTTAAAACCCTGTAGCCAACCCCTTCTTTTTATAACAGTTCAACAATATAAATGGAAAACAATGGTTCAAATGATAATATAAAAAATATTCCAGGATAATTCGGGAAACAGCTGTTAAGTGAATATTTTAACTTACTGAAAAGTAAATAATATACCAAATTATTTTTATAATGATAATAAATATTAAACAATAAAATAAAATATAATCCTCAAGGTAGGCATTTTTGGAGACCATACATTTCTCAATGACATTGTTTTTCAAGCAATTCTAGACCCAACTTTTGAAATGGCCTTTAGAGTTAACTGAAAAGGCAAAAGATAAAACTTTAAAAAAAAATTAATATACTTACTTTATATTCATAAAGTATTTCCAAAAAAGATATTGCATACTTTTATCCCCCATCTTACTTGTCAGATTAAGCTTCAATGATTTAGTACAAAACTTAGCTGCCACCAAGACTGTTCAAGAAAATTCCCTGCCACAATTCTACGAAGAATCTAAAATCATTCAAGAAATGATATTGTTCATTGCTGAATCCTAGCACCAAGAAAAATGCCCTATATACAGTAGATATATAGTAAATATTTGCTGAGTGAGTTAATACTTTCTCTTTGCCACTGAAATCTCTTTCAAAATCCTTACCAGAGTCCTTTATCCTTTCTCAGTATGAAATTTATTCATAGATCTGTTATGGTGTGTAATTTTAACCTAATTAGTTTCAGCTCACTATTTAAAACACTTTCAACACTGATTTAAGAATGAAGAAGGTACATCATCATCAATTCAAAATATTTCATCATTTATTAGTCTAGTCTCTTTAAAATATTTTTATTAGATGACTTGTCTATCAGCAAAATAAAGACTATTTTCCCCAAGAGTACCTTTAAAAGTTTTCCTTTCAAAAGAATTTAAATTTTTAAAAAATGAGACAATAAACTCAGAAATGTAAAGTTATTGTGGATGGCCTATAGATGCAAATTCTGACTTCACCTTGTAAATTTCTTGATTTCTCTATAGCTTAACTTTCTCATTTGTAATATAAAGTTAGGGGATGACCAACATCTAGTTCTTAACAATTTCATAAGATTTCTCTGTGAGCATATAATAAGCCAGATATTTATTATACAATTGGCTTTTCAATACAAGTTTTAAATAGAGAAGTCTTGCTTCAGAAATTTAATAGGATTTACAGAATTGCATTTATATATATAGTTCTTATTGCATTTTTTCTAGTACAATAGGTTCTGAGTATTTTTCTGAAAATCACTTTAAAAAATCATTCTTTTGCTACTCTTTTAATTTTTTTTTTTTTTTTTTTACTGTTTATATTGATTTTAGAGAGAGAGAGGAAGGGAAAGGGAGAGAAAGAAAAACATTGTACATGCCCTGACTGGGGACCAAACCCATAACCTGGGCATGTGCCCTGACCAATAATCAAACCAGTGACATTTAGGTTCACAGACAACTATCAGACAAATGAGCCACACTAGCCAGGGCTCTTTTGCAACTCCTAAGTTAAGCATACTTAAATAGGGCATAGATTTTCTATTTTAAGTCAAACCAAATGAAATTGCTGAAATTGTATGTATATATTTTATTTCATCAAGGAATAATATGCTAAACCTAAGGAATTGATAAAAATTGAGCACAAATTTTGGTTCACACTGAATGGATGAAGTCTATTAAAAGTCTTTCTTTACTTTTCCAAAAAGGAAAGTACGAAGGGACACAGGTTAGCTGTGTTACTTTGGTCAAGTTACTAACAAGTTGAGCTTCAATTACCTCAGGTAATACTAGGTTTTTTCATTTAAATCATCTGATTTTATAAAAGAAATAAGAATTTCATTTTTACAATGACATCTTGGTTAAGAGCACAGAAACTGTTTTTTAATACACTGTATAATAACTTAAGCACCTTTTTTATTAAATTTTATTCCCAAAATGTCTCCAAAAAAACCCATGTTCAATGTAATTAGTTATCTAATTAGTCTCAAGTTCTGCCTGAAATCACTGATATTTTTAAATGTATATACTTTATGTTACAGTTGGTTGTTAGAGAGAATAAAAACAAAATCTTAAAATGATGTGGATCCTTTTTAATCAGTAGTAACACATATTATTTTCCCCATAAAAAAAAAAATGATCTCCACTGACCATTTGATAAATATTGCTTCTATGTTGTACCACTGAAACAACTTAAATTTATTTCCTACTTACCACTGATTGTCTTAGGCTTTTTAGCTATGTATTCCTTCCATTTTCTTGAACTGAGTTGGCTGGGAGGTGGAATAAGTATGTTACTAATAGTACATGGCAATACAAAAAGTGCACCAACCTATTGAAAACAGAATATACTTTTAGTGACTGCACACTGAGATTAATTCTTAAGTAGTATCATTGGACAATTTTCCTCTCATATTTCAGCTACATAAAATGTATTTGGCAATGCTCTCTCCCAGTAACTCCACTAAAAAACAAAAACAATGCCCCTCCTCCACCCTGCCTCCTCACAAAAGCCAAAGACTAGACAACAAAAATAGAGAAAGTTCTTCAAAGCTGTAAGCTTTTTTGGTTATAAACCTCTAAAAGCTTTGTTATTCACATATCTGCTTCGAGCTCAGAAATGGGTATAATTTCTTCTTTTTCTAAAAATTAAAGAGAAGCCAGAAATTCTGTCATCAAAAGATTTTGTCAGCCATAATTTTATAACCTTTTGATTGGATGGGTTATTGTTCTGGCTTCAAAATTAGAATCATTTCGAAAGCAACCTCAAAACTTCTGTTCCTAGAAATTAGAGATTGAATGCTAATAAGAACAAAATGCAGAGAAACCATGAATCACATGCCAGTTAACATACAGCAGCTTCTCGTTGATTTATGAGCAAACGCAACTTGGTCATCTTTGTATTCCCAGGGCTGGCCATACAAATGCTTATTAAATATTTGTTTTCAAAAAAACCATTGCAATATATTTAGGTAAAGTCTCAGTTTGATTAAGCACTGAATAAACAAATTGCAATTCTCAAAGTGGCATTTTGCCAGTTATTTTAGAACACAAGTTACAACAGTCAGCACATCCCAATATATATATTTAACTCTGGGGAAATTTTTAGGTGGGGCATTTGGCATAAATCTTAAATCTAAGGCAAAATCACTTTTAGTTGTCCTATAAAGATGCAAAATCACTTTTAACTGTCCTCCATAGATGGGGGTTACAAGAGATGTGATACTCAAATAATGCATTATGTGCTAGTTTTATTGCTACTTATTACTTTTACTTATATATTAATTAACAGACATAAAAATAAGTGTATTAGAAGAAAAATAAGGTAAATTAAATGTGCTTATCTTTCTTTATTATTTAGTCATAATCTTTTTTTAAGTCAAATGTATTTTACAGTCAAGAATTAGATATTAAAAACATTTAGCAATGTAAAATAATCCCTAAGTATAAAAGATTTATATGTAATTTTCCAAGTACTAGGTCCTAGTTCTTCATTCTTACATAAATAAGACTTCAAAGTCTTAAATGCATGGCAAAACTGCATGATTCAGACTGTGATGTGACCACAGCAGATCAGGGTCCAGTTATACTTGACAACTACATAATCATTATAATTGTAACTTCACGGTTGAGAAATACTAGTTCAATGCTAGTTCAATAGCCTGATAAAAATGAAGTTCAAGCCTAACATATAGCCTGATAAAAACGTGGTTGGACTCATAGGCCAAAGAAGTGACCATGTTTTTGAGACATTTCTTTTTGACTAAACATTTGCTACAAACATGAATGACATTTCTAAATCTCACCATAAAGTTGAGGACTTTGGAGTTATTATGAAAAGTCCAAAGTGTCTTAATATAAATTAGGCCCAAAATCATATTATAGTAAAGAAACCAAATCATTGAAAAACAGATTCATAAACTATAGTCCCTTTTTTCACACATCGTTAAATATTGAGTTAGAAACAAAACAAAACAAAACAAAACACATTCTTTACATTGCCACATAGAGAAGAAATCTGCTCCAACAATAACATGGAGTTCTTCTTGGTACTGTTTTTTGTCAGTTCTCTGTACTTAGGAGTTAAAGAAATAAAAGAATGGCAACTGTAAAATAATTCTACTCCCTATTATATATTTGATTCTCCAACTCACAAGGTGCTTGAATTCATTTATTAAAAATTTTAACTGTAGCCGAAGCCAAACGGTCCCAGGTTCGATTCCGGTCAAAGGCATGTACATTGGTTGCGGGCACATCCCCAGTAGGGGGTGTGCAAGAGGCAGCTGGTCGATGTTTCTCTCTCGTCGATGTTTCTAGCTTTCTATCTCTCTCCCTTCCGCTCTGTAAAAAATCAATAAAATATATTTTTTTAAAAATTTTTTTTAACTGTAGGAATTTACAATTACTCCTTTCCCTAAGGACAATTATTTTTCTGATTATGAGAATATACCAAGAAATAGTGTTAGTATGAATGGTATCACCATTAATGTTAGAAACAAGAGATTTGTAAAAACTGTAACTTCTGAACAAATATTCTACAACACTATGCTAATGTTCCGTTTTCAGCCAACATTTTCCTTTTTATACAAAGTTCTTAAGTGTATTTCTAAAAATCATTACATTTCTTGAGAGAATTTAAAATATGTTGAATATTTTCAGATATAAATGATCACATTCATATTTACTTTACTATGTAACAGATACAACAGACTAGCGCATACCCATTCTGCCAATGGCAAGAGAAACAACTGAGCCATTTCTGGAATACCCGTATTTTCCGGCGTATAAGACGACTTTTGAAACGAAAAAAAGTCAACCGAAAATCGGGGGCAAAAGACCAAAATTGCACAAAAATTACCTGCAGATCTTGACGGCAAAATGAGTCTTTTCTTTGAAGTGGGGGGTAGTCTTATACAGCGAATATAGGCCCAAACATATGTTTTAACTGTAAAATTAGGGGGTCGTCTTATACGCCGGAAAATACGGTATGTAAATTACTGTTTTTCTCCGTGTATTCCTAACACTTCTCCCTCCTCCCAACCCCATAAGCAACAAGTAGCAATCAGGAAATCATCTGCTTTGTCTAGAAGTATAAATACAATACTTGAGGGGAGGAATTTTCTTGCAATTTATACAAATTTCTTAAAACAATGGCAATGAAAAGCACACTGAATACTATTCTTATATAAAACAGCACAGTCAAACATTTAATATGCAGTGGTACAAGGAAATATTCTACCCAACACAGAATTTGTAATCTAAAATGAAGATATAAATGAAAGGATACAACTCAAATTCAATGTCCGACAAATAGCAGGAGGGTAGGTCTGATAATTTGATCATCTGCACAAATTCTAAAGCAAGGCCATAATAGTGGAAAACCTAGAAAATAAATTAAAATTATATAATACTTTAAATGCTATAAAGTAAAATTGAACAAATTAGTGATTAAGGTTTAAAACTTTAAAATGAATCTTAAAAAACATGTATTTATACATAATGCCAAACACACATTTCATCCTGTATAGCAGACAAGAATTTCTTTCATTTCAATGCTACATATCAGAGCTGAGAGACAGACATGGAGATTTCTTGGGAACTAGAAAGATATTAACAGGGAGAAAATGAGTTATAGAAACAGGAAAGCAACAAAGGAAAAGAGTTATCAATCTTTCTTGTTTATGCTCAGCAAGACAGACAACCCAAGAGACTAGGATATTAAAAAAAAAAAAAAAAAAAAAAAAATAGCCGAAACCGGTTTGGCTCAGTGGATAGAGTCTCGGTTTGTGGACTGAAAGGTCCCAGGTTCGATTCCGGTCAAGGGCATGTACATTGGTTGAGGGCACATCCCCAGTAGGGGGTATGCAGGAGGCAGCTGGTCGATGTTTCTCTCTCATCGACGTTTCTAGCTCTCTATCCCTCTCCCTTCCTCTCTGTGGAAAATTAATAAAATAAAATAAAAAATAAGAATCTGCAAGACTGAGAAAGCAAAAGAAAGGTGACTCAGGATGAACTCAGGTTGAGTGGTATGCTGAAACAAACAAAAAATCCTTGGACAAAATACTTAAAAAATTAAATGGAGAACTAGTGAAGCCAGGCGTGCTAATTAACAAAGTATTAGACGACCCCTTAATTTTATAGCTAAAACATAGGTTTAGGCCTATATTCACTGTAGAAGACTACCCCGCACTTCTGAGGCAACACCAGTTCTTTTTTTAATAGACCGCCTCTCTGACTCTGGCCAATCTGCGCAGGCTTTTTACTAGAACACAGTGTAGCTTCGGGTACAGAACATGTACACTGTGTGTGTGTAGAGAGAGAGAGAGACTAAGAGACTTATATTTACTGAAGAGGCTGCACCCTAATATTCTCTTCAATTGCAGCAAAAGTTAGATATGCTATTCATATTAAATGGTGTACTACCAAAGATAAGTTGAAATAACCAATCCTATGTTCCTAATCTTTACAAAAGAATTCAATATTCCTGTGAAAGATGGCCGATGAGTTGCTTAAAGTAATCAATTCTAAACAGCTATTGGGAAATGTGTTTCCATCGCCTTTTCGTGTTACCCTTTGATCAGAAAATAACACCCATCCATTTGACATCGTTATAACATTATGACTGTTGTATTTTGCTCTTTCTTGAATTGCCCTTTTAAAGTGAATTTCTAGTGTGCTTCTACATGCATAGCTCTTATGTTATTATTTCAATGTAAAAGAAAAGCCAATTAAACCCTCTTTAATTATTATTCTTTATAATTACTTGTATTTTAAGAATAAATCTCTGGTGATAGGGGACAAAAACCTAACATTTTAAACATAGTAAATGAAGCCTCTGTGTTAGAGGCTATTTTCTCACCCCATTTAACTCTCATGATAACTTTGTAAGTTAAGTGTGTTATTATTGGCTCCACTTCACAAATGAGCTAATCAATCTACCCAAGGTTATAACACCTCATAGGTGACAGAGTTAGGTTTCAAACCAGGTCTGCCTAACATCAAAGCCTCTCCTCTTTCCACTGCGTCATACTCTCTGACCTTTTTAGTCTAAGAAAGGTCACATAGTAAAGTCCATGCCAAAGGCAGTTGCAGGTCTATTATGATCTAAAGTTAGGCTCGCTTCATTAAAACAATATTTTTTAAAATCTAAAACAATAGTTTTGCCAAATTTAATATAACACAGTTTAATTTACACACTTAATTATAACAATAATAGAAATACGTTAGTAAATGTGAATTTATAATTCGAAATTATCTCATAGGGACAAAAATATGCAAGAATGGATAACTGTAAAATTAAACATAGATTACCTTTGGCAAACAAGTTTTATCCTTCGATGGAATTATCTTTTTATCAAGAAAGCAGGTACTTAAGTTAAATGCATTAAAACTCTTAGGTGCAACACCCTTTAAACAGAAGTCAGGAAAATGAATTTCACATCCAAACTAAAAAGAAATCAAGAGAAAAAAAATTACAGACATCATGAATAAAGTTACAAAGATGAATACATCTTATTGCAATGTAAAAGTTGGGAGGAAAACCCTATGTAAATTTATTTTCTTTTCTTCAGCTCCACGTGTGGTTCCATTTATGTATAAATCCCACTTATTTCAACTCACAGATGAATTTTTCATGAAAAGCTCTCCTTGGCCCTTCACCAGCCTGTGAAAGTATATTAAGTCCATTCTATGCAACCACAGAACCAAATAACTTCCTTTGCATATACTTGTTCAATACCTGGCTTCCTACCAGTCTGTAAGTTCTGCAAAAACAGAATTTGTTCATGCAACAACAGAAGCTGCTGATGGAAGATCAATTCCTGCAGAAGTAGTAATAGCAGGGTTGCTAATAATAGCAAGGGTAACAACAATGATCCCTAACACTTATGAGTGGTTACTTTGTACTTTAAATAATTTAGTTCTCATAAAAATCGCGGAGCTAGAAGCTATTATTATTCCTATCTTACAGATGAAGACAACTGTTGCATGAAAAGGCTAAATATTACCCAACATGTCATACAAAACTACCAAGAAACAGAGTTGGGATCTGAATGCAGGCAATCTAACTATAGAATCTATGCCCTTAATCACTATAATTCCTCTAGGCTAAAAGCTATTTTCCACACACACAAAAAAAGTGATTTCAAGTTTTAAAAGCATCCAGTGGAGATATGGAAAAGAATAACAGAATCACATGAAAATAACTGGTCATTATCTGTCTGTATAAAAACACGTAGTTTCAGAAAAATTATACAAAAGCAATTCTCCAAAGCTAATCGTTTCTTGCACACTTCCAGGTGGCTATATAATCTGTTTACATTCAAACCACTGCAGAACCCAGCCGGTGTGGCTCAGTGGTTGAGTGTCAACCTATGAACTATGAGATCAGAGTTCAATTCATGTCAGGGCACATGCCTGGATTGAGAGCTAGATCCCCAGTAGGGGAAGTGCAGGAGGCAGCTCATCAATGATTCTCTCTCATCATTGCTATTTCTAGCCCTCTCTCCCTCTTCCTTCCTTTCTATGAAATCAATAAAAATATATTTTTTAAAATTACTAGGTGTACTGGTTAATAATGCAAATTTTCTTTCAATAGATGGAGTTACACATATGTTGATATATATGCGCTTTGATACATATGCTATTTTCTGGTATTGACAGCAATCTTCAAAATTTTATATGTCAAATTTGCTGAAGGTATTAACATTATAGATATTTTAAGGCTTAAAAATGTCGAATTTCTTGCCAAAAAAAGAGCACTTGTGGAAAGTTTTAATTCATTACTTTATCATATACTTAGGGAAGTTTATGGTGAACATGCTCCATCTCAAGATATTTATGAATGCTGGTTTACCAGTAGGGGCTAGAAGATACGGCAAAGTAATTTTGCTTCATGATAACACACTTCAAAACCAGTTAAAGACACATTAAAAGATCTTGCCTGGGAAGTATTAACCCACCAGCTGTATTCACCAGACGTTGCCTTTCAGATTACCACTTGTTCCAATTGATGGCACACGCACTTTCTGAGCAGCACTTCAAAACCTATGAAGATGTGGAAAATTGGGTCTCTGAATGGTTTACTTCAAAACAAGAAAAGTTGTAAATTGGGGTGGTATCCAAAAATTATCTGAAAGATGTGAGAAATGTGTAGATAGAGATGGACATTACTTTGAATAAAACACTTTTGATGTTTTCGTTGGATCACAAAATCCACATTATTAACCACAATGATGTGGATTTTGTAATCAAAGAAAACATGATAATTTCAAGAGAAACATCAAAAGTGCTTTATTCAAAGTAATGTCCATTGTTAGCTACACATTTTCCCATTTTTCAGATAATTTGTAGATACCGCCCCACTAGAACTTTTCTTGTTTTGAGACAGACCATTCAGAAACCCAATTTTCCATTTCTTCATAGGTTTTGAAGTGTTTCTCAGAAAGTGTGTGTGCCATTGATTGGAACAAGTGGTAATCTGAAGGACCAATACAACAAAAATACATACCAAATTGCATATATTCACTGAGAGGCCAGATCACTAAGATCTCTGAATGCATAATCATCTGGCCACTTAGAGGCCCGGTGCATGAATTCATGCATGGGAGGGGTCCAGCCAGCCTGGCCAGGGGGAAGGGCCATGGGCGGTTGGCCGGGCTGCCTGCTGGTCGAAGGGACAATTTGCATATTAGCCTTTTATTATCTAGGATATACACTGAGTGGCCAGATTATTATGTGTTCAGAGATCATAATAATCTGGCCACTCAGTGTATATCAACATATGTGTAACTTCATCTATTGAAAAAAATCCAGATTATTAAACAGTACACCTAATAAATTAAATTAAAAACCACTGCAGAAAGGTTTACCTGCAGATTTTACCTTCCCAAGATTAAGATGAGAAAGCATTCAAATCAATAATTAGGACCCATCCACATTAATTCCTGTTGTCTTATTAGAGGTTGTATTACACTATTATTAAGAATAAGTTGAAATACGTAAGTGCAATAATCCTTAACAGGAACACAAGGGCCTACTCATGTTTCCACATCACCCTGAACAAATACTAAGAAACCTGGTTTTAATTTTGCCTACATACAAAGCTCTAGGACATTTACTTCAATATGAGCACAACTTATAAAAGACACTAAACATATTCATAGAAGAAATGGCAAACAGAATTGAAACCTCAGAGAAACTGAAGATTAGAGAGTCCAACTAATCTGATAGTTGCAACTTGTAATTAAGAAATCTGGGGTCCAGCAAGGTTAAAAGAATTGCTCAAAATCAGAGACCTGGTTAGTGGAGGGTAGAGATTACCTAAACTGGCATTATAGGTAAGAGATTATATACTAAATAATTTTCCTATGTATGTGATAAAATAAAGAAGCTTAAACAATATGCAATTAACTGTCAAATTCTATATTTAAAACATATTACATCCTAAAACTACAGTGTCCAAAACATAATCACAGTGATTATTTAGACTTAAATTCATTAAAGAAAATGAAAACTCAATTCCTGGGTTGAATAGTCACATATAAAGTGCTCAGTAGCAATATGAGGCTAGTAGAATGTTGCATAAGCACATATAGAACATTTCCATTACCACAGAAAGTTTTATTTACAGTGCTATTCTAGAACATATTTATAAGGTACATTTCCACTAAGATTCATTTAAATTATGTTAAAAATAAAACTGATGGACTGCTTTGTAAACTCTAATCGCTGAGAAATCCACTTACCTTTCTTTCCCATATCTGAATCTTTCCCCTCCATAATTCCTTTGAGTCAACAGCATCTCTAAGATCCTCTAAAGATACCACATCAGCAGAAAGGTATTCTGCAATTTTCTGACAATTTCTATGAATAAAAGATTATGATAATTAAATACAGTGTTTTATATTTTACTTAGATTAAATGGTTATAGTTAAGTACAAATCTAACAGGCAAAAATGCAAATTCATATTGCTGCTTTTATGAATTTGCAAAAATGCAAATTCATATTGCTGCTTTTATCTATATTTTAAAATATAGAATACCCATTAAGTCAACGTCTGAGTGAGTTGCTATCACATGTCCATTTAATCCTAACATCCTCAGGCATTGAATTATTACCTTTAATATTACAGGTGAAGAAATAGACTTTACCTTAATATGTATTGGCTGAAGTGTATCAGACATATACACACACGCATACACATAAACACACAGACTTGCTGATTCCTTATCTTAAAAAAGAGAACTAATCTCCTATTTTTGTCCCCATATACACTTATCACAAGCTATCATGACTATTATTATTCCTGTTTCTTCCTCACTTCAATGAAAAAGATCAAATCTCACTTTCTGAACTAAGCAGCATCTACTGCTGTGCTTGGCATAAAGTAAGTGCACAGTAAACACTTGTTGAACGGGAAAAAATCATGAAGTTAATAAACTTAATCTGAACACTCTTTAAGGATCAAACTATAATAGAAATTGATCCTTACTAAAATATCATAGAACACAACAATATGTATTTATCTCTATATTGGCACAGAAAACAAAAAACAAATATAACATTATAAATCCAGTGTATTATGTATTCATAGTATTCATTATGGTGCTCAAGCCTACTTAAAAACACACTGTGAAAATTAATGCAAATATGTACATTTGCATTGATAATATTTACTAAAAACTTAAATATACCACAAGTACAAGTATAAAACAAGAAAAATCTAGATTCTTTTCAATTAATCTCCATTCACAGTATGATATAAAACTATCTTGTCACATTAAAACTTTTTAAAATGCTGAGTGTATTAAAACAGGATAACATATTAATTGTAAAAAGACAACAAAGACAGTAATCAAATGAACAAAGATACTTACATTTCACAATGATTTCCTGCTATGGTAATTTTTGCTGAATACCATTCTTTTAAATGTTTTAATGCTCCAACAGTAGGCAAACAGTCTTTTAATTTAGGAGGATCTTTGTCAGAGGGCAACAGTATTATATCGATCATTGCTCTACCTAGAAAGAGAAAAAGGCATTTTTGTAATTTTATAAAAATGTTAGATCTGAACTACCTTAAAATAATACCATGAACGACTATTATGTTTATCTAGAAGACAAAGGAGAATTTTATCTTTAATTTCTAAAATTCTTCAAAACAATACACATCTTTAGGAGCTGAAAAATTTTAAATGTTCATCATTTGATTCAAAACCATATTATTTTGAAATAGTTATCATGTGTCAGAAAACAATTAACTATATCACAATTACTTGTCAATTATGCACCAGTGGTTAATTACACACATTGCTCTCATCAATACTATCATACTGAACAGAGAAAAACAATCCCGTGCAATTTCATCATACATTTCTATACTTGACTTTGTTGTAGAAAGGGGAATGAATTAGCATAAAATTGTAATGTTCAAATAAATACTTTGTTTAAAAAAAGCAAAGACACTCAGAAAACGCAATTATACTGACATCAATGGTTCCTAAGAAAGGTAACTTCATGAAACTTTAAATTTTATAAAATTATGAACTTACTGAAGAACCAAAGTGAAACAGAAGGAAAATAAAAATTTGATAATTAAAGTATTATAATTTTCCAAACCAATTTTGTCTCACTGTATATTTCAGTACATATTTTGACTTGGCACATTTTGCTTAGAAAAATTGATATATTTTTAATCTATAATGTTCAGTTATTTCCATGTAGGATCTTTTACACTAAAATAAGATCTTGAATATAAGCAGTACATGCATAGGCTTTACTCATCACTGTATACTCAGCTCCCACTACAATGCATATCATATAATTAACAAAAAATATCTGCTTAATAAATGACCTTAAATAAGAAAAACATTCAAAGAAAGCTCTTTGAAAGTTTATTTGTGGAAGCAAATTATACCAAGCTTCAGATGCCAGCTACTTGATTAGCACAAAGAAAGTGGAACTTAAGACAAAAACAGTTTAAAACTACGATAGTATGATGCAGTAGTCATAAAATATGATTTCTGTTACGGGAAAGAAAAAATGGGTACTATAAAAAAATGCTACATCAGGGGCTTCTCTTACTGTGCAACTTTAAATTTGATGTGTATAGTGACTTCACAGCATAAAAGAATGTTATTAAATTATCTAGGTCAGTGTTTCCCAAATTTTTGACATATGTGTACCCCTTCTATAATTTTCTTAACGCTGAGTACCCCTCGTACTCATGAGAACATAGAATTAGGCGCAGCTAAGCACGGTGCAGTGCATATCCCCACCAAACTCCGGTGCAATGCATACCCCCACCAAACTCTTCCCGTACCCCTCTGGGAACGCGTACCACACTTTGGGAAACACTGATCTAGGTGAAAGAACTTCTTCCAGGAGTTGTGTATGGCACTAGTGTTCTTTGGGACATACTCTGTAAAACACTGGTATGTAGTGGAAAGATTCTTCTTCGATAAAAAATAAATAAGGAAACAGATGGGTATTTCATTTTCTAAGTTCTAATTTTTGTCTCACTAAATAAAAATAAGAGAACTCTAATGTCTCCAGAATGTATTTTATTAAAGTAGTAAACTATGTTTTATATCAACTTCAATTAAGAAATTATTTTTTATTTCGAATTTCAAAGTTAAAAGTGACAACCCAGCCTTAACCGGTTTGGCTCAGTGGATAGAGCGTTGGCCTGCAGACTAAAAGGTCCCAGGTTCGATTCCGGTCAAGGGCAGCATGTACCTTGGTTGCGGGCACATCCCAAGTACGAGGTGTGCAGGGGGCAGCTGATCAATGCTTCTCTCTCATCGATGTTTCTAACTCTATATCTCTCCCTTTTTCTCTGTAAAAAGAACTCATAAAATATAATTTAAAAAATAAAAATAAAAGTGACAATCCAGGATTAAGACTGAACTTATCACTCATTCACAGAAGGGTGAGATATAATACAAATTATTGGAAGCAGTCATAAGACATTACCAGGAGCAGGAAGTTTGTCTGATAATTGATGCAAGTTTTCTGCAGATTCTTCATATAGACTATAATAAAAGGGCAAGTTAGAACAAAAACACATACACATTATATCTCATCATAAATACTCATGCATCTCATAAATATGTTAGATGCACTGTCTCATCTGAGCCTCATGATAATTCCATGATGTACTACTATAATACTACTAGAGGCCCTGTGCACATGTGGGGTCCCTCGGCCTCACCTGCGGGGATCGGGCCAAAACCGGCTCTCCAACATCCCCCGAGGGATCCTGGATTGTGAGAGGGCAGATCTTGGGTGAAACACACCAGAATTGGGCTCCCTCTTCTCTGGTTCCAGGTGGGACACCCAAGAACCATAGCTGCCAAGTTGCAATGTAGGAGCTGCCAAGTTGCAACTTGGCAGCTCCTACATTGAGTGTCTGCCCCCTGGTGGTCAGTGTGCATGACAGCTACTGGTTAAGCTTTATATATATAGATTGTAGTCCTCAACTGAAAGAATTTTCCTAAAGTTACATAATTAGTAAGTGTGGAAGACAGGATGCAAATCCTGAGTTCAATTTCTCAGTATTACCCAAAAACAAACAATAACAAAGATAAGCTCCCTAAATTATACTTGTTTATTAAATAAAAATCATAACTAATAGATCAAGAATTTTTTTGAGTCCTAAAAGTAAGATATTGCTAAGTGTTTAATACAGGATGCTGCTTTGCTCTGAACAGCACATAACAGTCCTGACTGGGAAATATGATGCTCTCCTCAAATTCTTCAAAATCTATTAGTTCGATCCATATGATGAATTTTTTTTCACAAAATAGTTCATTATAAAGTTATTTAAATCCTTTATTATAAACCCACCACTGTCTAAAAAACTTAAAGCATCTATGATAATGTATAGTACTCAAGCTCCCTCTTGTGGAGATAATTATTAGGTCATTTAGTAGAAATATTTACTTTTAGACTTGTCTATCATCTTGTAATAGTGGTGGAAAATATAAGGAATTACAAATGATCTGAAGATGGAAAATGCCTTATAATCCTTTGAAAGGATCTCAATGCTTTACAAATATGAAAACAAAAGACCACAGAAGTTAAGTGACTAGCCCAAGATCATGTAACTAAACACTAGTTATATAACCCCTGGTTCAATGTTCTTTCCACAATTCTACAATGCCTCCCTTCACTAATCAATACAAACAAATGTGATCTAAAAATAAAAAACTAAATTTTTAAAAGTCTGTAACAATTTATTGAAATATAATATGTGAATACTAAAGTAAATAAAAGTGGTTTTTGGTAATGCAATATGGAAGATTAAAATAAAAGGCATTGTTTATGAGTCAAGACAGAATATTTCATTAAAAAAAAATTGTCACCACCTTTATCACCTGAATCAGCTAATACATTGTACAACTAAAAAAACCCCAAAAACAAACAAAAAAAAACAACCTGAAAGTGAACTCAGTTAGCTACGTAATCCTCAAAAACTCTTTATGAATTTTTAAAGGTACTTAAAATACTGGAGATATATATAAATTTATATATATAAATTTCCACCTCAAATAGCAAAATAATAATACTAATAGTTTGCTTTGAATGCAGTTATTAACCTTAAGGTTCTATTCATTATAAAATATAATTATGGGGCATATTAAATAAAATATCACTTTTTATGGTTCCTACAATTATGTAAGCTAAAGTGCTAAGAATTATCTGATTCCAATTTTTGCATTTTAAAGAATTTTACTCAAATGACCCAAATCGTCTAATGTCTTCCAAAATGAAAAGCTGAAAGTGTCAAGTAACTAAAATCCTCTACTGTAGCTGCTAAAATATCTAATCTTCATTCTATAGCTAAAATACTATCTAATGTGAACTAAAGATATTATAAAAAGCATATAAGCATACTCAGCCAAGGATAAGGACTCCCTGCTATTATTATCTTCTTCCTCAAAACACTCAACAGCACCCAGACATTCTTCGATATTTGTTTGTAGAAGATCTTCAATTTCATCTTTTTCTGTACCAAAATGTATCTCTTCCCAGTCAGAACTACAAAACTAATATATCAAAAGATGGCATTAAATGATGGGTTCGTGAAATTATTTATATTAATAAAGACATTCACTAATGACTATATTTCTAAACTTATATTACCTGATAAAATCCACATATGGCTTGTACTGCAAAGAACCACTTCTTGGAGTTAAGTATACCGCCAACTGAACAGGCTTGAAAAAAAAAAAAATCACACTTATTAGAAGAAAGACATACCACAATTAAGCAAATGATATAGTATATATACTTAGAGAATTATATAATTTGATACATATAGGTAATCTAAGTTATATATGTATAAGTATAATGTGCATTATATGCACACATACATATATATTCACTCACCATGAATACTTTATATATATATATATATATATTTTTTTTTTTTTTTAATTTATTTCAGAGAAGAAGGTTGGGGGGAGAGACAGAAACATCAAAGATGAGAAGGAATCATTGATTGGTTATTGGGAATTCATCCAGGAACCCGGGCGGTAAATTGAACTGTGACCTCCCAGTTCATAGGTCGACACTCAACCACTGATCCACATCAGATGGGCCACCATAAACACTTAAATTTTCTTTTTTTAATATATTTTTATTGATTTCAGAGAGGAAGGGAGAAAAGGAGGGGGGCTAAGGAAGGGAGAGAGGGGGAGAGGGGGGGGAGAGAGAGAGAAAGAGAGAGAGAGAGAAACATATAAGCTGAGTATGCTTATATGCTTTTTATAATATCTTTAGTTCACATTAGATAGTATTTTAGCGATAGAATCAAGATTACTGGCTGCCTCCTGCACACCCCCAACTGGCCAACTGGGGATGGAGCCTGCAACCCGGGCATCCACCCTTGTCTAGAATCAAACCCAGGACCCCTCAATCCACAGACAGACGCTCTATCCACTAAGCCAGTGGTCGGCAAACTGTGACACGTGAGCCACATGCAGCTCTTTGGACCCTTGAATTTTTAGCAAAGGCCAGCTTAGGAATACCCTAATTAAGTTAATAAAAATGTACCTACATATATAGTTAAGTTTAAAAAATTTGGCTCTCAAAAGAAATTTTAATCGTTGTACTGTTGATATTTGCCTCTATTGACTAATGAGTCTGCCAACCACTGCACTAAGCCAAACTGGCCAAAATCTGTATTATTAATCATCATTTGAAACAATAAAATCTACCATAAAAATGTTGAAAAAAACCTCACTGTATTCCTATTATTCACACACAACTGTGCAAGTCATTTTAGTGAAAACAATTCTCTCTTCAAAGACCATGAAGGTTTGGCTTGAAAGGAGGTAGTTAAAGAGTAACTATAACCTAAGACAAGGAGGATGCTGTCCTTGGAGCTGGAATATTACAAGTGGATATGAAATTAAGGTTCTCCCCTGGGTGAGTTTAAGAAAAGCATGAACTTAGAGCTCTGCATAGAAATTAGATTCAATGGAGAGAAAAGCAGAAATGTAGTAACTGAGGCTTAATTCATGGAAGCTAGAAAAGATGTTAAGTGCCTATTACCAACTCTATTCAGTTTGCACATAGATGGCAAAAGATGTAATTGTGTTGCCTTCTGTCTTCCTGTGATAAATCCACTTGGTATTTTACAAAATAAATACTAGGAAGAGGGAATTGACAAAAAGAAAAAAAAAGACAAAAGCACAGCAAAAAGAAAAGTGATGGAGCTGAAGTGATATTCAAGACTAAAGTACTAGTAAATGGATTCTAAAAATAGCTGTGATTAAAACAATAAAAACAAACAAAAAAGAAAACAAGTTTATTTCCAGTACCAGTCAGTGCAGTGCCAGAGAAAGAGGGGTTCATGCTGTACTTACCAGGAAAAGTACTATCTTCTGGATTAATTGAAGCACGAATGCTTCTTTTCAGAAGGTGATAAACATTTGCTGCTGTCAAGTCTGAAAAGGAAATGACAGACTAACTCAATGGGCTCCCGAGTTACATAATCTAAGCCAATACTAATTTCACCATAAGAGACTCTCGAGAACATGTTGAACATAAAAGAAATATGCTCTGTTCAAGTTGTGTTATATCTAAAGCAAGCAGAGAAAACAGGAAACGCTCCCGGTTTGTACATGCTAGCCAGGTAACATATCCAAAATTCCCGCCAAAGAAAAAGTATGCTGAAAAGGAAGCCCTGTCACAGCACTCTCTACACAACCACATACATTTCCTCCTCACAATGCCTGCAAGATCAAACAAACAAATAAATAAGTGCAATACCGAGTCTAGATAGGAGCGCCAAAAAGCAGTGCCTTCTCAAACAGTTAAATATGTTTTAGAGTTATGATTTGTGGGTTTTTTGTTAGTTTTTTACTTATAGGTTGGATGTCTTAAGAAACTAAGAGTCTTATCTCCTGCATTTGCAACACAAGAGACAGATTATTATACCTATGGAATGCAAATATTTCCCAAAAAGCAGACATTCCTTTACTAAAGCACAGGGAATTTTTATTCAATTAAATCTGCACCGTTGCCAAGAACTTCTGGGCGCCAAAATCTTGCATCCACCAAGTTGTCCCTATTTTTTCAGGAATATAATGAAACATTTCAGCCCTCATCAGTTCGATCCCCTGTAACAGTCACAGCTGCCTGGGACAAGTAACTCCCAACTCCCTACTCCCCTCCCGGGGGAACAGGATACAAACTCACCTCTCTCCTCCGCCCCCGAAAGCCCTTCCCGCCCTTTCTCAGCCCAGCACTCACCCGGCTGCTTCTCGGCACCCTCCGAGGACAACGACGGCCCTGGCGGGCGCTCCGGCCCCCCGCCCGCCGCCGAGGGGGCTTTTCCTTGCCCCCAGATGACCAGGAGCAGGTACCGATCCATCTCTCTCCCGCCGAACCCGGGTTTCTCCCCTCCGATCCCACATCAAAACAGCCGCGCGCCGTGACGCACTTCCGGTCCCCTTCTATTAGGGTCGGCTGGAAACCGTGCGCTCGCGGTTGATTTTTCTGCAGCTTTTCTAGCAAGGAGTGAATTTCAGGAGTTATTCTGGAGATGGCCGCATTACTTTCTCCTTCGTAACGAAACAGCCTGTCGTGGGAAGATCGGAAAGGGACCCGGGAAAAGGGGAGAAGCGGCCGAGTGCCGGCCGGCCGGCCTAGGAACCGTCCTGCTTGGGTGGATGCGTTTCCCGCCGGACCAGTGAAGCCGCGGACCGCCTCGGGCTCCGGACCCCAGAGGACGGCCCCGCGAGTCGGGTAACATGTCGAGTTTCTCCAAGGCGCCCCAGGTGAGCTCGGACTCTGGGGCTTGATGGGACTCATTGCACTGGCAGGAGGCGCTCAGTGGCTCCAGCTGGCTCAGTGAAGCTGGATGGGCAGCAAGCCGAGTCCTTGGTCCAAGGGGTCCCTCTGGGAAGCACTGATAAGAGGGTCTTGGTCCTGGCCCCTACTTGCTCTTGTTCTCTTTGTATTCGTCCCCTCCTCTTTTCAAGCAGCCCTTTCCGCGTCTTTTGTTTCTGGCAAGAGTTTTAGGAGAGAAGGTCAGAGAGGTAATAAGATGGACCACGTAGGGCATTGTAGATCATTGTCAGAGTGTGCTTTTTACGGAGTAAAATGAGAGCCTATTGGAGGTTTTGGAGCCAAGGCATAAGCTGATCACAAGTGTTAACGGGAGCACTCTCGCTTGCTGAGTTGAAAATAGACTGTTTAGAGGTGGGGATGGGTGGTGGATAGAAGCCAAGAATCCCGTTGGAGGTCGTTGCTGTGATCCAGGCTAACCAAAGGCCGGTATTACACAAACCAGGGCAGTAACCGTGTGGTGTTGGAAAATGGTAAATTTCTATTTGATGGTGGCGCCAATAGGATTTCCCAAACGATTGCATGTGGGAGGATAGCAGAAGAGGAAGCAAGGATTGCTCCAAGGTTTTTTATTTTTGTTTCAATTGCCAGAAGGGTGTGCCATCAGTTGAGATGGGGAAGGCTAAGACTGAAGAGCAGTTGGGACATTTCAACATTTCAGAGGCAAGGGATAACAGGACCACCAGCAGAGCAGGTGGTATCCTGGGAGCCAAGTGAAGAAAGAATATCCAGGAAAATGAAATGATCAACTGTCTGGAGTTGACCTATGGATTTAGGAGGATGAAGGTCATGGTAACTTTGGCAGGCATTGGAGGGATAGTGATAGCTGTGGGAGAACAAAAGTCAGATTGGAGTAGATTGAAAAGAGAATGTGGAGAGGCAAATTGTAATGAAGAAAAAGGAAAGGAAAGAAATGAGGCAGTTGCTATTGAAGAAGTGAGGTCAGGAGTTGCTTTTAAAAAAATTATGGAGAATTGCAAATCACATATAAAAATAGATGTCACCCACTATCAGAAAACTCATAGCCAATGTAATGTCATCTGTACCCCCATTGATTTCATTCCCTTCTTTATGAATTTGAGGTAAAGCACTGACTCATTATTTCATCAGTAAATATTTCAATATGTTCTCTACAAGACAAGGATTTTTTAAAAAATCACAATATCTTTTATCAAAGCTAAATGAAAAGTTAACTAATATCATCAAATATCCAGTATGTGTCTAAATTTCCAGTTTTATCATAGATCTTAGAAATACATAATATTTTTATAGTTTGTCCCTTTGGATTAGAATCCAAAAATGCAATAAGATGTTGTTTTGGTAAGTCTCTCTTAATAAATGGGTCCCTTTTCCTTGCAATTTGTTGAAGTCACAGGATTGTCCTGTAGAATAGAATTCGTGCTGTTTGAATTGTTTTATTAGTCCATAAGCTGAGAATGGTAGGGAAAGAATATAGGCTAGAGCCATCTTTATTTACAAAAGGCATGATTATCTATTTTAAAAAAAATCAATTTACAAAAAACTACTAAATCTGATGAATATCTTTAGCAAGCATACAGGATACAAGACCAATATATAATAGTGAAGTGTATTTCTATATAGTAGCAACAAACAATCAGAAATTAAAAATACAATAGCATTTACAATGGCATCAAAATACATAAAATAGGGATAAAGCAGACAAAACATATGTAAGGGGAACTGAATAGAGACTAGAAAAATGAGAACAGGAGAAAAACGGAATTGGTAAGCAGTTTTATAGGCTGATTTGAGGTTGTGATCATTAAATTGAAAATGAAACCAGCTAGCCTAGTTGTATTTTTTTTCCAGCATCGTGTAGCTGTTTATACATGTGCATAGAGGAAGAATCTGGTCGAGATCTTTCTGGGCTGTAAGTGTCCTCGAGTTTGAAGGCACTATAGGTACTGAAAGGATAGTGATCTATGCCTAAGGCAGCCTAAATATGTCTAAGGCAGTGTTTTTTTAATTTATGATTATTCAGCATCATTCATCTATACTTCTCCAGCCACATTCTACTATTTAATTTTCCCTTTGAATTAAATTCCTGAATAGTCTTCAGTTCCTAATTCACAACTCATCTTACACTTCATACAGGCTTCTTATCTTTCCAGGTTTTCTGCTATGCCAGATAAAAAAATACAAGTCATAATGTAAAGGGGACTATAAATACTTAGAATAGTTTTAATAAAGCATGATGCATATTACTAATAGAAAAGCAGGCAGGAAAAATTATTGTATTATTCTTTGATGATATATAATTATTTCTATTTTAATTAGAATTTCGTTTACTCTTCTGTTTTTCCAAGCAATGGGCCACTTTCGCTCGAGTTTGGTATCTCTTAGATGGGAAGATGCAGCCCCCTGGAAAACTGGCTGCAGTGGCATCAATTAGACTTCAAGGATTGCATAAACCTGTATATCATCAAAAGAGTGAGTACCATTTAGAACTGTAAATTAACCACAATTTACATGCCAGAACAGAATCTTGAAGTAGTTTGAGTGGGCTGTTTTTAAGGATCTCTTTTTTTCCTGATGATCATTTATTTCATTCTAGCTAAAAACCTACTAGAGCACTAAAATGAATCTGGCTTATTCATACTGGTATACAGACCAATATGCCTGGGACAACCCCCGTTTATACCAGTGCCCCAGGAAAATTGTCAGTGGCCCCTCTTTCACACTCAGAAATATCCTGATTTGGACTATAAATTATATGTTAATTTCTATCCATGTTTCTTCACGCAGCAATATACGTTTGAATGTACAGGTTTTAAAAATGAGCACATAAGCTTGCCCTCTCTTCTAAAAACCTTTTCCTCCAGAAAGATATGTTGAACTAGCTAGGCATGGAAAGTTTACTCTTTGCTATTATAAATGAATAAGTTTGCTTTTCTGTATCCCTTTTCCAAAACAAGTTGCTTTCATACTAAAAGACTTCTGCTTATTATAGACTAGAGGCTATTTTGTGCACAAGTAGGATCCCTAGGCCTAGCCTGGCCTCCAATGCATGGCCTCTGTCGCCCTGCAATGTTACGTGAAGCTCTGCCCCGAGACACTCCATTCCATGATGCTCACAGCCGCTGCCCTTTGACTGCTCCACAAGGTTCCCCCTGCCTCGCCACTACTTGCATGAAACTCCCCCTGCCCCTCCACTGCTCATTGAGGCTTCTCCCACCCCACCACTGCTCTGTGAAACTCCCCCCCCCCTTCCCCCCAATGCTGCAGCTCAACAGTCCAGTCACCAGTCCCCTGTTCCCCGCCCTGACTCATGGCGAGCAGTTTAGGAGCTGGGAGCGAGGAGGGGGACCAAGAGGTGCTCCATGCACCTTCTGTCTACTGGTTGTTGGTCATAATGCCATAATGACCCCTGGGTTTTTATTATATAGTTTTGATTGACATCACTTAACCTAGGCTCATCAGTGTCCAACCTACTGGATTCAGGTGTCATTCCTCACCTTGCTTGACCTGTCAACAACATTTGTTGTGGTTGATCACAGTTTTAATTATCTTTATTTTGTAGCATGAAATATATATATACAAAGAGAGAGAAAGATATAGATGTATCTATCTACATAAATATATAGGTATTATTTTAAAGAAAATTAATTATGATAATGAACTCAATACCCATGCACTCAGTTTCTAACTTATTTTTGGGATGACAAACAGCATTGCTATCAATACTCTTGTACCTTTTTTTCTGGTGCTCACATAGAAGACCTTATCTGAGTCTCAGTAAAACAGGAATTTCTGGGTTCAAAGCTGCCTGGGAAACTAGCTAGTCTTTATGCCAATGTCCTCCCCTGCCAACAGCATGTAAGTTTCTGTTTCTCCTCATCTTTAGTAACACTGAATATTTTCATTCTTTTTAATTTTGAACACTAGAAGTGAAATGCTCTCTTAATGGTTTTAGCCGAAACCAGTTTGGCTCAGTGGATAGAGCGTCGGCCTGCGGACTGGAGGGTCCCAGCTTCGGTTCCGATCAGGGGCATGTACCTTGGTTGCGGGCATGTCCCCAGTAGGGGGTGTGCAGGAGGCAGCTGATTGATGTTTCTCTCTCATTGATCTTTCTGACTCTCTATCCCTCTCTTCCTCTCTGTAAAAAATCAATTATATATAAATCAAAAAAATCAATTTTACATATATATATATAATTATATATATTATATATATTTATGTATAATTATATATATAATATATATATATATAAAGAAATGCTCTCTTAATGGTTTTAATTTACATTTCCCTGATTCCAATGGAGCTATCTTTTCATTTGTTTATTAGCCTTTTATCATTTCCTCCCCTGTGAAATATCTGTGCATGTCTTGCTTTTTTTTTTTTTTTTTACTTTTTCCTAATTTTTATTATTAAAGTTCTACGTTAGCTTTTTCAGAAATGTTCAGTATTATACAGTGAATTTTTTTATGCCCTTGACTTGGATTCCATAGTTATAAACATTTTATCATATATCTTTTACTCAATCATTAGAAAACAAGTTGAAGATGTTATTATTATCTTCCCTACATACTCTAACATATATCTTCTAAGTAAAACTATATCTTCCTGTGTAACCAAAATGTTGTTATAAGCAAATAATATAATTATGCAGTTTAATATCCAGTGCAGTTTCAAAGCTCCCTGATAATCCCAAGAATATTTTTTTTAGCTATTACTTTTGTGAACTATGGTCCAACCAAGGTTATGTATTGCCTTTAGTTATCTTTTGTTTTAGTGTCTTTTAATCTAGTATAAGCCTTCTCTTATTTGTTTCTTACCATTAATCTTGTGAGGAATCTAGGCTAATTTTCATGATGAGAACTTTTTAAAAACACATTTTTCACTGTTTTTCCGGGATGCCATTCTTCCTTTTTTTCACCCCTCATTGATTCCATTTTCTTGTTCCCTTTTGCTCTCTTCAACTTTCTAAACTCCCAGACATTTTTCTCCCACTAAAAATTGGGTGTGTCTCAGAGCCCAGTCCGTGAATCTATTCACATTCTCTATGGGATTGCATTCAGTCTCATGCCTCTAAATACAGGGTAGGGCAAAAGTAGGTTTACAGTTGTGAATATTATACATGAAACCCAATTTATTCTTTTATTATTGTTTATGTTATTATATTCTTTTCATATGAACAACTATAAACCTAGTTTTGACCCACCCTGTATAATCTCTATGCTGAAGGCTCTCAAATTTATGTCTCCAGTTTTGACCCTTTTCCTATATTCCAGACTCACATAGCCACATTTCTACTCAAAAAAATCTTGTATCTTACAGACATCTGCAATAGAATAAGTCCATTTGAAGATGTTTTCCTTCATGATTTTCTCTGTCCTGAGAAACAACCTGTTTCTTCCATTTTTCCCATCTCAATTAATATTAGTTGCTCTAGTTAGAAGTTTGTGCTTTATCTCTGACTCCTTTGCAGTGATATCAACAAAGTGATAAACAAGATCTCTTAGGTTGTCCTTGTAGAAATGCAAATGATGCAAAATGTGGAGAAAGGGGGAGTTAGCAGTAGACACCTAATTTCCTTCTTAAGGTATAGCACTTACCTGGCACTAAATGGAGGTTCTGCTTCCTGAAAAGCAGGCCATTATTGCAGAAGTGTTCCTTACACTCTGATGAGTAATCATTCTGCTGGAACACCAGAACTTTCCTGGTTGCTTGTTAGGCCATCCCTTTCTAGGAAAATCACTTTTTTATGAAATTAGAAATTTACATTTTAAAGGTTGAATTGTAGTTTTGTTTCACACTAAATTTAATATATAACTTACATCAGCAAAACTTGTCCTGTCCACAAGATGTCACTAAAATCAAAACTTGAAACAGTTTTCAATTTATAAATACTATGTTGTGTATTTAGTTTATTTCTAATATTTATTGGCTTAGCCAGTATTATTAAGCATGCGTTATTTTGCTCATAATCATTGCAAAATGTTTATTTGAGAAGTGATATTCAATTTTCTGTCTGAAATATGTCAGTCTGTTGCATGCTTCATTGTTTCTGGTTCTATTTTTTATTTCTTTAAATCTTTTAAGGACTTGTTAGGGGGGAAAAAATTTATGATGCTGTTCTTAAAGTAACCCAGTTTGCCCATTTTTCTCTTGCTATTCGGTTAAGTGTCAATCTATTTTAAATGTTAATTATTGAACTATTTTAATTTTTCAAATAAATTCAGCTTCAATGAAAAGTTAAAGATTCCATTTTCCCTCTAAATAGGTATCATGGAAAGAACTTGAACAGGGTTTAAATAATTTGGGGTGTGAGCTTTTAGCAAATCACTGAATCTTAATGGGCCTTAACTTCTTCAACTGTAAATGTCTGACTGAAAGCTAAGGAATTTCAACATTCTTTGAAACTATATAGATATCTTGTCACCCTCTTTGTTACTTTGGTTCATTTGCCCCCAACTGCCTTAGTAACCTACGATGTGTCACTTTTAGGAACTTCAGTCACCAAATGCTATCAAACTATCCTTTTCAACACACTACGGTAACAGCAAGCTTCCCAGGTTTTCCCTTCACTCTGGATTTTCTTTCAGTCTAGTGAAGAAAGCTCATCTTCCTTATCCTCTTTCCTTTACCCTTGTCCAGTATAGACTATGAACTTTTCTCAGAAAATTCTCTCATTTAAAGTCTAACTTCTGTATGGATTCACATAATGTAATTTTTACTTTTCATATTCGATGCTTATTTACACTTTTTATTTTATCAATTCTAAAATCTTTTGAAGTTTATTTTTCCTATTAGTAGAATAAGCACTTAATAAAGGTTTCCGATTACTTGATCTTGTCACATATAGTAACTCATGAAAATTTAGATGTTAACATTTGGGGGGGGGGTGTGTTTTTGTTGTTTGTTTTTTAGATCAATAGACGAACTTAGGGGTACTTTTCACTGGAAAATTCGTCTAATACATATATTTACATTTTCAGGTCATCCCATCCTGTCTAATATGAATGCAGTCAGAGTTGAGAGTGACCGTTTAAATTTAACTAGTTAAATATGGTTGGAAAAAATATTGGGTTAAGGAGTTAAGCATAAGATCCTAGTACTCTTTTTCTCTACATTTAAGAAGAATAAATTGTGATGTTTTACATTTGTTTTCAATTTACCTATTGGCAAAACATATGCTTTTTATAACCACATGCATATTGTTTTCATTTTCTTTTCTGTTTTTAAGGGAAAATTAAAATTTAATATAAATACATTTTAGTGAAGTGAAATTATTAATAGAAAGATATAATAGAAATAACAATAATTCGCTGTTAATTTAAATAATTTAAAGATATATTGTTTATATTGGCATCTTTATTAAATTTTCTTTCACCTTCCAGTGTTGAGATTTTCCAAATGGTTAGCCAACTCTTTCTATACTTAGATGTTGTATAAAGCAGAAACAGAAACCCATTCAAGGATGTTGATGTTGCACTGTGACTTTCTTTATATTTTTAATGTGTTGTTTAGACTTTGGTAAGCTTTATAAATAACCAAGGTCACTTTTGCTTAAAGATTTTTCATATAAAAATATTTTCTTTTTTCTTTTTAAATCTAGGTGACTGTGGTGACCATGTTGTCATAATGAACACAAGGCATATAGCATTTTCTGGAAACAAATGGGAACAAAAAGTATACTCTTCACATACTGGGTAAGGCGATGTCATTGTCACAGAAGATAGGCAGTAGGAATGTATTACCTTAATAACATCATTGATCTTATGTAAAAGAAAAATGACTTTTTAAAATTTGGCATTTAAAAAATACTAATTTTACTCATGGCAATATATAATTTACTCAATCAAAAAAACACAAACCTGGACCAAATCACAGTTATTACTAACAGAATTTGTTTTTCCTTGAAACTTTTCACATGAACTTTTCCAGTCAAGATTATTCTCATTTTCTAGCCAATATTCTTACTTCTTTCTTTCTGCTCCTATAATTCATCTGCTATTTCCAGAACCATCCTGAACATCTGAAAGTACTTGAGATGTTTTAGTGGCGAGCAAAATCCCAAGTTTGGAAGATACCTAAAATTTCCACAACATACCCATCAAGTTATAGGTGTCTCTGCCTATGTTTGAATAATACCAGTCTCGTAGCTCACAAGATAGCCCATTCATTCCCCTTTAAAGTGCTCTAAATTTCAGAAAGATCTTTATGCTATTGAGTCATAATCTGTTTTTCTCCTGCTTTCACGTTAGTTTTATTTCTTCTCCTTGGGTCATAGTGAAATAATTATATCTCTTCCGCATAACATTCTTCAGATAATTTTGAGACCATCATCAGCAGGTGCCCACTGGCTTATCTTTTCCTTGGTCTTTAAACATCTGTGGTTCCTCTGGTTCTTTATATGGCTTCACTTCAAATACCCCCACTGTATAGTTGTCACTCTATTCTAGATATAATCATTGTTTTTTGTTTCTCTTTTTCTGGTGACTCTTGACTTACACTTTGGACATAGTATTTTTATTATGCTCCTAGTATTTTTTTGCAATTATGTATTCAGCATTTATCTTTCTAGTTATAAAAGTTTTAATGCATGCTAATGTTAGAAAATACAGAGAAATTTAGAGACGTAACTAAAAATCATCTTCATCCATTAAATGAACATTATAATATATATGTTTATATCTTTATTTTACTTAATATGTTATTTTCAGTCACTGCGTAGTAGTGCATAATATAATTTACCCGCCGAAACCGGTTTGGCTCAGTGGTAGAGCGTCGGTCTGCGGACTGAAAGGTCCCGGGTTCAATTCTGGTCAGGGGCATGTATGTTGGTTGCGGGCACATCCCCGGTAGGGGGTGTGCAAGAGGCAGCTGGTTGATGTTTCTCTCTCATCGACGTTTCTAGCTCTCTATCGCTCTCCCTTCCTCTTTGTTAAAAAAAAAATATATATATATATAACTTACCCTACTTAATCATTGCTCTGTTTTTGAAATTAACATTTTGACTTTTATAAAGAGCTGGAAAACAAGCCAACTGAGTATTGCATTACTCAAGTTGTTCCCCTCCTCAGAATTTTCAGTATAAAATCCAAACTTCTGAAATATAATATAAATGGGATTATGGTTTAGAAGTTGCCATCCTAGTGTTAAAAATAGATAATCTTTAGTGTAGAAGGTGTAAAGTATTTTTCCCCCTGGAGAGAAAGAATATAAAAATAGAAGTCTGTACAGTATTTCTTTTTCTGAATCTGAAATTCCATTGTGAAATAAGTGAATTTCAACTTGAAAATTATCTTTCTCAGCAAACTTATAAATATGCTTTCTTAAATTTATTCCTAAAAGGTGCTTCTTTAAATCATCTTAAAAATGTTTTTAACTTGTTGAAAAGAAACTTATGAAAGGAAACACATTTAGGTTCATCTTAAACTTTTCTTGCAGAGTTCACTGATACTATTTTTTTTCCTTCCTTGAAAATCATTTAGGCTTTATTCATTCATCCATTATAATAAAACCTTACATCTTAATATTGTTTTTATTTTAAATTTAAGCGTTTTCACAAACATTTTCTCAATTGACTCATAAAAACCTTGAAATGTAGCTGGTGAAGAAATTATTATTGTTCTTATATGAGTAAACTCATGAGGTAAAATGAGTTGCCTAATATTAGGTAGCCAATAGGAAATCTAGATTCCAGACTTGAATCTGTGGTATTCAAGTGACTGAGCTACCTCTAATATTATCCCAAATAAACAAATTTTTAATCTCCAATTTACACATTTATATAATTTTTTATCTGAACCAATGAAATATTTTATTAGTTAGGGGCAACATAATAACTCTTAGATAATAGGAAATAGAATCATGGCCTAAATCTTTAGAGTTGGAACTTTATTTCAGAACCAGATGGTCTACCATTGTTTTCCCCAAAGTTGACCACTAGCTTATGCAGACGCTTAGTCTAATTTGGCAGGCAATTTTTACCATTGCTTTTTCTTTCTTAATTCAAACAGCGATAAACTACCCCGAGATAAATAAATGAGTGAGTGAGTGAGTGAGCAAGCGAGCGAATGAGTGAATGATGAATAACTAAATTCCAATAAAAATATAAGTAGTCATGCCAAGAAATTTTCCAAGATGTGAAATTTTTTTGTGAAATAATGATGGTTTCCTACATAAAAAAATAGTATTTCATATAGCATAGGTTACTACTTAATTTTTTTTTCAATTTTGAAGAACTGTTTATTAACTAACCAGATTATAAAAATAACCATGGTAGATATCTTAGTTCATCTACTACTACTTAATTTTTAAGACATTAATGAATAGCATAGTTTCCAGAAACAAGTATAATTTTAAAATAAAAATAGTTTTATATTATAAAAGCATATTCAAGAATACTATACCATAGCCTACTCCCAGCTTTAATGTCTGCTTCTTTTAATAGCTACCCAGGTGGATTCACACAAGTAACAGCTGCACAACTTCACCAAAAGGATCCAGTGGCAGTAAGTCTATTGGATTTTTTTACTTTTATTTTTTTCTGTGTAAATTCTAATGTAGCTAGCATTCAAGACTATAAATTCTTCATGCTAACTCTACCACACAAGCTTTGATAAGTATTATTATTCAGTTCTATATATTTTAACATTACTATTTAGTATGTTTTGCATTTAGTCAAAAAATGTTGATGCTTTTTAAAAATTTTCTTGACACCTGCAGGATCACCTAAACTATATGTTTACTAAAAATGTCTTGGGGAAATAGGTATATACACTATATGTTTATTCATTACAGCAAATATGTTAACTATATTGTTCTAATCTTATATTCTTATTGACATTTTTGTTCGCTTGATTTATTGGTTATCTGAAAGAGCTATATTAAAATTTCACTTGTAGATTTAATTTTTTTCTTGTAGTTCTGTCAGTTTTTGCTTTGTATGTTTGAAGATTTAGCATTAGATAAATTTAAGTTTGCAATTATAATCTTCTAAATAACCGATGCACTGTCCTTCTTTATCTCCAATAATGCTTTTTAACCTGAGGTCTACTTTTTTAAATATCAATGTAGCTCTAATATAAGCCTTCATTTGATAGTATTAGCCTAATATAACATTTACAGTTTTACTTTAAATTTTACTGTGCTATATTTTATTTAATTTTTTCCTCATTTTCTTACCTTCTTTTGGATTGGTAGAGTTTATTAGATGTCCAAGATTACCCAATATATTTACTTTCTTTCAAATAAAATCAAGGAGGCCATTAGAAGATTTTTAATACTCACTTTCTCTCATAATCAATGTTTTCCCTATCCTTAAGATTTTTTTTTAATATATTTTATTGATTTTTTTTTACAGAGAGGAAGGGAGAGAGAGAGAACTAGAAACGTCAATGAGAGAGAAACATCAATTAGCTGCCTCTTGCACACCCCTTACGGGGGATGCGCCCGCAACCAATGTACATGCCCCTGACCAGAATCGAACCTGGGACCTTTCAGTCCGCAGACCGACACTCTACCACTGAGCCAAACAGGTTTCGGCAAGATTTTTTTTTAATTAAATTTATTAGGGTGACATTGGATAATATAAAGGTTTCAAGTGTCATTTCTATGATACAAGATCTGTACATTACATGTGTGCCAACCACAGAAAGTCAAGATTTTTTAAAACCCTTTCAATTCAACATTCTTGCTATTAGTTTATACAGTTTTTTGTTGTTTTTTTTTTATGATTTTCTTTGCTTACAATCCCTTCATGTAACTCAGCCTTCCTTCTGAGTTCAATTTCTTTCTTAAAGGAAATTTTACTATTTGTTTCTTTTTTAAGCTTTGATAGTACACCGTAACTCTTACACAAATTATAGTTTTTAATGTTTTTAAAATTAAAGTTTATATATTATTTAGATATCCTCACTATACACTAGGAGGCAGTATAAATCAACTTTTTGAAGAATTTGGCATTGGGTAACAGTAATTTCATTTTTTTATATAAACAAAGAATGAAATGTATTACAAAATGTTGGATGGAGACTTGGAAACTATTTTAGAGTTAAATCCATTTCAATTATCACCTCATTAAAAGATCTTAATTTTTTTTTAATTCCTAATTTTGACTCTGTGTTGGCATATTAAGGAAGAAGTCAATAATTTTACTTCCAATACCTATCGTTCTGGAGCAGTGAGTTTCTCCCAGCAGATAATTTGCAAGTCAGTACTTAGTGTACGTGGCTTGTAAGAGAATGTGTTTTGTATTGCATTCTTCTGATATTCATGGAATAGTATTTATAAAATACATAATTAATACATTTAATAGTTATTACTATGTTGTTATATATTTCAAAGCATTTTAATATCACTAAGATTATTCAAAACTCAAATAAATATATTGATTCAACCCTTTCCTTCTATCCTTTATCCCTCTGTCATATATTTTAGTTTCTGTAAGAGCTTTTGTGTCCTTACATTTTTCTTTTAACATGGTTCCTTTCTTATGTTTCTCCACCTCCTATAATTAGTTAATAAAGTTATTTTGTGTGAATTAAATGGCACATGCCCTGGATTACAAGTTATCTGAACAAACTGATGTTTATTAACCTCACCTTGTTTTATCTTTTTCACTTTCTGAATTCCTGAAAGCATTTGCAGGAATTAAATGCAAATTTAATTTACAGCTAGAACTACTTGATTGTATGTGCATGTTGTGTCATATTTATTTTGGGCATATTTATATTTATGTTTGTGCATCTGTCTTTGTCTCCTCTCAACTTATAACCTTTTTTAGCTTTTTCTAATTACACTGTTATGTTTGCACTTTTTAATAGAGTAAATTTTTAAAATACCAACTTGTTAATTCAACTAAGAACAACTAAATTGTTTAAGAACATGGAAACCAATTGCCATGTAATCTTACTAATAGAGTAAAATTGCTAAAGGGATGATTTTTGAGGATATAAAGACTTATTGATTTGCTTATCCAGAAAGGTTGCTAAATAATTCTAACGTCAGTTTCTTCAGAAGACTTTTTAAAACATTAAACATTTTAAAGGCTAGTTTCTGGATCAGTACCGTCCAGTAAAACTCTCTCTCCCTTGATGGAAAGTTCTGTGTCTGCACTGTCAAAGATGGTCACCACTAAGCCACAAGTGACACCTGACCACTTGGAAAGTGGCTGTGTGGTTGAAGAACTGAATTTTCTTAACTTGATGTCAATATTTAAATAAAGTCTCCAAAACATAAAGTACTAACAGAACTGAGTTAAAAAACAGATGGAGAATATGTATGGGATGTCATTAGCTTTTATGTGTAGAAAGGTTTTGATGAGAAAAATAGAAGGAATAGAAAATCCTTTTGTAGTGAAACCCTGTTCTAACATGAATTGTTTTAAGGCATTTAGCTATAAAACATGTGAAATTATATCCTTGAAATGTGAGTACAGATGATGAAAATCTATACAACACTCCAAATGTCTCCTTCAGCAGTTTTGTGAAGAACTCACCATGTATTACTATACACTGTATGCCAGGAGGCCCCCAGGAGATTAAGGAGCATAGGGTGACCCTGTGTGGCCTTCTCTTGACAAAACATACATGAAATCACTCTTAAACCAACAGTGAGGATAACCATCAGAGGGGAAAAGTAAATCATGGAAAGGTTAGTTTATAATATTGGTAATGGGTTTGGTAGAGAAAAGTAACATTTTGTCTTCCTGGTAAGATATGGACAGAAACACTTGAAGGTGTGATTTCCTGTACTATATATCTATTCTGGGAGTTTTGACTGCCTGGTTTGAATTCACACATGGACACATAGATATACTAGAGGCCCACCATGTAGGTTTCCCTGTGCCTCGCCTGCCTTTAGGGTCCTGTCCGCGCTCCATGATTCCTTGCACAATCCGGCATGCATGGTCTGCAGACGCTGCTGGCGCCCCACCCACCACAAGAGCCGCTGCTCATTTGGTCATGACCACAGGCCTTTTATGATACAGATTAGAGACTCAGTGCACAAAATTTGTGCACAGGGGTAGGGTGAGGGTTGTCCCTCAGCCCAGCCTGCACCCTTTCCAATCTGGGACTCCTCGAGAGATGTCCAACTTCCCGTTTAGACCCTATCCCACTGGTGAGATCAGGACTAACTGGGCAGTCAGACATCCCTCTCACAATCTAGGACTGCAGGCTCCCAACTGCTCACCTGCCTGCCTTCCTGATTGCCCCTAACTGCTTCTGCCTGCCAGACTGATCACCCCCTAAACACTCCCATGCCAACCTGATTGATGTCTAACTGCTCCCCTGCCAGCCTCTTTGCCCCCAACTTCCCTCCTCTGCTGGACTGGTCACCCTTAACTGCCCTTCCATGAGGGTTGATCGCCTTCAACTGCCCTCCCTTGCAGGCCTGGTCCCTCCCAACTGCCCTCCCCTGCTGGCCATCTTGTGGCCATCTTGTTTCCACATGGCGAGTGGATCTTTGACCACATGGAGGCAGCCATCTTGTGTGTTGAAGTGATGATCCAAGTAATTTGCATATTACTCTTTTATTAGATAGGATAGAGACCTGGTGCACAGGTGAGGGCCAGCTGGTTTGTCCTGAAGGGTGTCCCAGATCAGGGTGGGGGTTTCCTTGGTGTGTGGGGCAGCCTGGGTAAGGGGCCTGTGATGTTTTGCAGAATGGCCATGCCCCCCCCCCCCCCCCTCCCAGTGACCCAAGCTGAGGCCCTGGTGTCTGGGATTTATGTATCTTCTACAATTGAAACTTTGTAGCCTGGAGCGGAGCTAAGCCTCCTGCTCACTCCATGGCAGCAGCCATTTCTGTTTGGATTTGTTTACCTTCTATAATTGAAACTTTGTAGCCTTAATGGAGGCTTAGGCCAGCAAAGGCAGGCGGAAAGCTTGGCTTTCTCTGTTACCAGAGAAAGGCCTCCCTCCTGCTCTCTGTGGCTGTAGTCATCTTGGTTGGGTTTATTTGCATACTTGCTCTGATTGGCTTATGGGCATGGCTTGTGGAGCAGAGTGATTGTTAATTTGCATATTACTCTTTTATTGGGTAGGATTATATCAAGGGAATTGTAAAATCTCACTACATCAGTTTTCTCCTCTGTGAAGTGAGACTCACATTGTAAACAAGATCAAATATAATGAATGCACTGACCACTATACACATAGCAAGTTCCGTGAATGTTAACCATTACCACTGTTGTAGATTTGCGACCTCTTAAATTGGTGTCTGTATAGTCAGGCTTAGTGTTTGAGATGGAAACCTCCTACTCTAATAACTACACAGTAAATATTTGAGCCATAGGTGTTTGTAAAAGCTTAGAGAACTTCTTAGTCTAGTAAAATTGGCACACAATAGGTTATTTCTAATTTCTTCCTTTTGCCCTTTTTGCTAATTAAAAAAATAAATTAAACAAATATAGAGCCTAAAGAAACAGTAATGTGTAAGTAATAAAAGTTCCTTTTCTATTGCTGCCACATATCCACTCTGGTCTCAGATTGTTTCCTTTCATGTACCTATTGTCTTGGCCCACTGGTTTCATCACTGTCTAACTAAATCTGCCTTCTTAATATTACAAGTCATATTTGTATGTTACTGAGTCCTACCTATGTGTTTTCCAGATTGTAAAACTAGCTATTTATGGCATGCTCCCAAAAAACCTTCACAGGAGGACCATGATGCAGAGGCTGCATCTTTTCCCGGATGAGGTAAGTCAGTGGTCATTGGTAACGACACTTACCCTCAATTAAATACTTTCTCTTCTTTTAAAATAATTTTGGTGCTTATTTTCAATAGTTTCATGTCAAACTCTGAATTTCTTTCTGTACTTTATAGTGAGCTTACTCTGATAGCAGTTGTTCATATTTTAAGTCATAATGTGAGCTATTATTGGACAAAAGTAATTTATATTTTATTTATTTTAATAACTGCTTTTTTTTTTTTTTTTTTAAACAAGGTATTGTGGTCAGAGTTCCTGTTAAGTTGAGGATACTAATTGGTGATTTCAAAAACAGTAAAAACTGTGCATTTAGTTTACATTGTATCTGACTGGTAGTAAAAATTCTGGATAAATAATTTAGGTTTGGTTGCTAATTAGGTCCCATGATTTAACTTTGGGATACATGGCTCTACCCAAAAATATTCATCTAAAAAGTACTTAAGCCTAAATTTTCATTTAATCCAGGATATACCAGAAGATATTCGTAAGAATCTAGTGGAAGAGCTCCCACAACCACGAAAAGTACCCAGACGTCTAGATGAGTACACACAGGAAGAAATAGAGGCTTTCCCAAGATTGTGGACTCCGTAAGTCTTTCTTTTTCCTGTCTTTGTTTTTAATGTTTGTTTGTTGTTGTTTTTTTAAGCTAATAAGGCTTAAATGATAAGGCTCTTGATGTAGGAAGAGTGAACTCTTTTACTTCTTTGGATACCCTTTGCAGCTCCTACCCGCAAACAAACTCTAGATGTAGATAGTTTCTAAATCTTAAGACCTTGCCAGGTAAATGCAAAGGTGCTCAGAGGTGCCTACAATGGTCAGATATTTTGTTTGGGGGGGGGTGACATTATTTTGATTAATTGTAGTCTCTTAGAATGATAAATAACTTGTCATTATTTAAAGTGATTTTCCATTTTCCATATTGCTTCACTAAGCAGAGATTATTATGTAATGTTGTAATGAGTAGTCCTTAATCCTAGATACTTATAGTCTTAATCCATATTGAAAAACAAAAAACTTTTCCTCTTTTCTGTACAGTTCCATATACCTCACGTCTGGAAAGCTGCTTAGGTTTGACATACTCGCTCTCATCTGATTTCTTCCAGGTTTCTTTGCCTGGCCTTCCACCTCTTCATGACCTGGTTCCTCCCTATCTCTTCAGCTTAAATTCTTTTTTTTTTTTTTTTTTAAATATATTTTATTGATTTTTTACAGAGAGGAAGAGAGAGGGATAGAGAGTTAGAAACATTGATGAGAGAAAATCACCGATCAGCTGCCTCTTGCACACCCCCTACCAGGGATGTGCCCGCAACCAAGGTACATGCCCTGACCAGAATCAAACCCAGGACCTCTCAGTTCACAGACCGACGCTCTACCACTGAGCCGAACCGGTTTCGGCTCAGCTTAAATTCTTCCCACTCCACTGCACTGTTCAAGCAATAGCAGGCTGCTTAAGACTGGTAGTCTTTTATCCAATTTAACTCTTACTTGCTCTTGTTCTGCTCTTATTTCTGCATAAAATAAGTCCCTCACCCTTTCTTTTTTTCCCCAGGTTTCCCTGTAGCAGGAGTATGTACTAGATACCAGCTCTCCTTTATGCTATTAAAGTTGTGATCTTTCCTCATAAGTAGCCTTACACACAACATACAGGGTGGGGCAGAAGTAGACTTACAGTTTGTGAGTTTATCCTTGTTATTATTACTTATGAATTGATGTATTATTTTCCATCCAAGCAACTGTAGACCTACTTTTGCCCCACCTGATAAATTAACTTGTGTTCCCAAAATAATTAGGTATGTATAACTTAGTAAAATTTGAGGCTATATCATGATATGTGTACTAGTTATTAAACGTAAATCAGTTAATATTTTATTCTGCACTTTAGAACTAACATCAAGTCTACTTAGTTTTTATTCCTATGGAATGTATGTAATAAGGAAAACGTTTGCATTTTTAGGTTAATCAAAAATTATCTAAGAAACAGATGATCTTTTAGTTCAGGACTAACAGAACTTTCCTCAGTGATTTAAAAAAAAAAAAAAAAAAAGCTCCAAATCAGAGCTGTCTACTGTAGTAGCTCCTGGCCACATGTAGCTCTTAAGTGCTCACCCTGAGCTAGTATGACTGAGGAGCTGAATATTTAATTATATGTAATTTTAATTAATTTAAATTTTAGTAGACTCATGTGGCTAGTGACTACCTTAATAGACTGCCATTTTAGTTGTTTGCAATGTCATAAAGTTGTAGTATTGAATGTTATATACACTAGAATTAAATTATTTGAGGTATCATGCAATGCAGTCCATTGTAAATGGGATTTCTTATTAGTGGTACATTTGCTTTCATATGGAAAAAAATTTTTTCCTCATTTTGGAGAAGGAACTTGCTTAAAATATGCTTCTGTTCCACCCAAAATAGCTAAGCCAAGAATATAATCTTTTTTTCGAATGTAGTAACTGGACTTTATCCAAGATAGATCTGCTGGTGAATCTGCAGAGACTTGACTCAAACAGATATACCTGGATTGCATCATAAATAAATGGACACAAAAATAGCTTGTTTTGTTTTTTTGTTTCCCTAGCAATAAAACTTGAAATATGTTCATAATATAAAAATGTACATTTTGTAATTGGAATTATCATTAGCTTTTGGTTAAATATTAGTTTTTCTACTAGACAGAAAGCTTTTGAGAAACAATAATAATTGTCAAACTAAGCTTTGAACCCAGTTGGTGATTGACAACATTTTTTAAATCTTAATTAAAAGCTACCATTGTTGGAATTTAATTTAATTCTTTTAAATTACTTACAAAATTCTCTCAGGTCTAACTTCAGCAAACATGAGATTTTTTTTTTATGCTAGTTGTTTAGTCATTTTCAAAACAATGGTAAAAAAGAAGGAAAAAACTAATTTTGAGAAAACTAAATATTTTTTATAGTTAAAATCCATTTTCTCATATGAGATGTATTGCTTATATACCTCACTTCTTAAATTAATGAATACACTTGATAGATTAGTACTTTTACATCTTATGGATATGTAATTGTGTTATGTTATGAAGTTACATTTTGGGCTTTTTGATGATACAGAGTAGATGTGTGTTTGCCACATGTAAGTTCTAAGGATGCTCACTTAGAACTTATTTCTCAAAGAAAACAGTAACAGAACTATCCTTTTTTCAAAATTTGCTGAGATTATAGCTCTCAAATGGTCATAGCTTTCAAATGGTTAGCTTATTTCATTACTATCGATAATTATTTCCATAATCATTGCAGTTTTGCCAACACATTACAAAACCACAATAATCATGGAAATCATACTGCTAGCATTGTAATGGAAATGTTTCATTATGTAGGTTAAAAATAAAACTTGGATCATTTTAAGCTCTTTGTTTTCATTTTTTTTAAATTCTGTAAGAACTTTCTTAGGAAAAACTAGGTATGTGAAATTTTTCAACTAGAATTGCTTCACATTATCTGCAGTGATAAAACAAAAACATAAAGAAATGGATTTTATGTCTCACACATTAAGTCAGTACTGTTTTATTTTAAGCAAAATCCTCACCTTTATAGAAAACCTAAAGGTGGAAAGTTTCAGCATCAATAAATGCTTGAAAACAGATGTTTATAATGAAAAACTCTTATTCATAGTGTTCAATGCTCTTCTCAGAATGTGCTATTCGAAGTGTGACCACAAGGGAGAGAGGTGGTAGTAGAGATGAAAGGGAAGAGGTATGAGTACAACCATGATCGCCCCTAGAATTCTCTTCCCTGAAAGCAGGATTATGTTTAGGTTGTTTTATAGGTTAATCCAGGCAGATCTGGGAAAAGGAAAAAGGGTTCCGGATGCCAGATCATTAGCACTGGAAAGGCAACCTGTTGAGCATCCTGTTCAGTCTATAGCTCTAGGACCTAGCAGAGATATAAGCCTAGTGTGTGCCTTCTGATGCAGAAGCTTTTAATTCTAGACATTTACAGGTTTCCAGTTTTTGTTAAATTAATATCCAGAAAAATACTGTTTTTACCTATGCCTTTATAAAATGTGCTTCAGATCAGAGACGTAATTACAGACAGTGGAGAAGGATTTTTACCTTTTCAAAACCCATGAGGAGCAAGGATCTAGACATCTTCAAGATTTTCCGTAATTTCATGCTAGTCTAGTCATGTAACACTTTCCTACAAGATTTAACTTATTTCACTGCTCTTTAGTATTAGCTGGACCTGGGAGCAAGATTACATTCCAATTTTCCCATTCATTTTAACCAGCTCAGCATTGGCTCAAACCAAATACCTCAGTATTTCCAGTGCTGAATTTTGCTCAAATTAGGCATTCTAAATTGTTCTAAACTGTTCGTTTGGATATGAACAAATTAGAACTAGTTGTTAAAATAAAAAATAATCTCTCTTTAAATGATCAAAACCAAATCATGTACTATCTTAGCCAACAGAATTTAGGATTTAAATGCAATAGTTGAATGTAACAATTCCTGTTAGTTTTAATTGAACAGTACTATGATTTAAACAAATTTTTAAGTCTTGAGTTTAATTTTTTTTCTTAAAGCACTGTTGAGCCCGGCTGGTGTGACTCAGTGGCTGAGTGTCGCCCTATGAATCAGGAGCTCACGTTTCTGGTCAGGGCACATGCTTAGGTTGCAACCTTAATCTCTAGTAGGGAGTGTGCAGGAGGCAGTTAGTCAGTGATTCTCTCTCATCATTGATGTTCCTATCTCTCCCTCTCTCTTCTCTGAAATCAATAAAAATATAATTTTTAATAAATGCCCTGTTAAACTTTTTCTAATCAGGCTGGTAGTGCAGGGCCAGGAGAGATGAGTGTAAAGGGAGCATTACTTTGCCTCACTGTTACCTGGACAGCCTTTAGTTCAAGGAATATGTGATTTCGCCAGATTTCCTGGAATGGTTAACTCTCAATAATCTCATCTATACAATGGAAATGTCTTAAAACTCGATCAAACCAACCTTTTACTTTTTTAAGATTATTCTGCCTATCTAAATTTTATTCTAGCCTTAAATATTTTGTTGGAGTAAGCATGATACTGAGAAATATGATATAGGAATGAAAAGACATAAGACCTAACCGTAATACTTTCCCAATAAAGATAAACTTTTTTAAAAGAAGAAGAAAAGACATAAGGCCAAGGGGAAAAGAATAAAATACTTTTGAGATTACACTTATCCCCTCTTTTATGGACTTACAATGGAAATTCAGATGCTTTTTTCCCTTAGAAAATAAATTATCTTTATAAAGCAAATAATATTAAATGTCTCTAATTAAACTTTATCATAAACTGTGTTTTATAGCTTTGTTTTATTTTATTCACAAACCAAATGGATTTTCTATTTTATAATGAAAACTAAAATCTACCAACAGTTTTTTCCTGAAGATTTTTTTTTTTTGTAGAAATGTCCCATTTTCAAGATAATGTAAATGTGTTGGCCTCTATCATTCCCATGTTCTAATTTGTGCATCTTCATTTTTGAGATGTATTTGTTTCATGTTAATGAGATGTAGTGTTTTGCAAGTATCTACTCTTTTAGCCATAATATTGTACACTATTACCACCCCTAGTGGCAAATTAACCATTTGCACTTAACCATTCTACTTTGTAAGGATTTGGCTTTAGTGTTTTTCACCAAAAACTTAGAAAATAATGTCTGTAGATGTTTCTCAATGAACAGCTAATGTCATGTGAAATCGGAGAAATAATATTCCTTCATCAGGCAAGTGAAAATGAAATAATGATTCACGAAGACATAAATGTTGATATTTTTGTTTCAGACCTGAAGATTACCGGCTGTAGAGAAATGAAAATTGCAGAAAATCACAAGGAGATTATTGAAACTTCTTCCTGATGAGTTTCTCCTGAGCTGCATTGGGGTGGAAGCTGTTATGGGCGCTGAACGGTGGTGGAGAAAGGTCAGGAAGGGATCTTCCTTCTACAGGAAATTGCAATAGAATCCATTCTTTTATAGAACTGCTGTCGTGTAAATTGGATTTGAATGTTATCAGTGGGATAAGAATAAAGTTGGCTAACTCACTTGGCTAACTATTCCGTTTTGCATTTTTTTTAAAAAACAAGTCCTGGGTAGCATTGCAGTGAAAGTTGCCAATAAGACCCATCTTTGCACATTTCCTGCCAACTGGGAAGAGAGCCGCCTTCACTTTTCCTTCCGTGACTACTTTATCTAACCTGCTGTCCTTCTAAATTCACCCTGACACTCAGCAGGGTAAAATTTCCCCTGAAGTATTTACAAACTGCTACCATCCTTTCTCCATCTAGCTTCTTGGCCCCCATGACACCAAAATAAAGTAATGCCTAACTGTTACCTAGAAACCTCACTCCCGCTCTATGCTATGTGCACACCGCTGTGCCATGTCTTCATACTTCCATAGGATCCTACTCACTTCTGTCCTGGGCACTTAGGTTGAGCTGCTGAAATAATCTAGCAAAATCTGGTCTCCAAAAATTAAATGCTAAGCCACTGTATTTGGCCATTTTTATGATGTTTTTTCTTTATTTTCCTCCCTTTTTCTTGCCCTAGCCCAGTGGTTGGCAAACTGTGGCTCTTGAGTCACATGGGGCTCTTTGGCCCCTTGAGTGTGGCTCTTTCACAGAATGCCACGTGCAGGCACGCACATACAGTGCATTTGGAACTTTGTGGCCCATGCGCAGAAGTCGGTTTTCGGCTCTCAAAAGAAATTTCAATTGTACTGTTGATACCTAGCTGTGTTGACTAATGAGTTTACCAAGCACTGCCCTAGCTAATCAAGGAGTGGGTTTCAGACCATCTTTCCCATTCATTCAGCAAAGTATATTGAATGCCTGCTACATGCCAGACACAATGCTAAGCATTGGGAAAACAGAAATTACACATCTTCCCCCAACAAAGAGTGTACAGGCTACTGCAGAGTGGGAAGGAACTATTGAGAGATTGTAAATATGTGTGCCTGGGTGTCAGAGTTGCTGATGTGACAGTATGTGGCTTCTGATGTATGTTTCAGTAGCTGGCATTAAACCTGAACTGTTGCTAGAAACGACCTGCTAGTGTGCAGGGCACAACTGCTTTACATAAATTAATTCATTTAAACCATACAGCAACCCTATAATGTATATAGTGTTATCCTCCCCTTTTAAAGATAGGCACACTGAGGCAGCACTAAGTTAAATAACTTGGGCAAGGTCATAGAACTGATTTGAATCCAGGTTGATTGGCTCAAAAGCCGAGGGCCTTAGCCACTGATAGATGAGTTAAAGTGTATTTATATTTTCCTATCACAAATCTGTAATAACACAAGCATAACCTGGTACAAGTCAACAGCTGCCATTCACAACCGAGTGGCAGTTAGATTTAAACTGTCGAACCAAAAACAAAGGAAATAATGAAAATAAAAACTGTCGGGCCCAAAAGCTGCACCCCTACTTCACCTCTGACCTCTGACATAGTCATCTTAGTTGGGCACCCATAGGAAACAAGCTCCAAGCTCCTGAGGCAGTAGCTTTAATCAGGAGGGATTTTTGTCTTGTGTAGCCTAAGCATCCTATGCCTGATACATAGTTCCTGGTTTAGAAAGCTCATGGAAGAAAGTCCTATTTCCAATAAAGCAGGGTTTGAAGAGGTGAGATAACATGTTCTATAAGAATATTGAGTCCAAGCATCATAGTATTAAATATTCAACCATCAATCTCGCTTGCTGTGGATGAGAACACCTTTGGTGAGGGGGTTGGGGTCCGCTGACCCTGCAGACCCATGGAGACCTGCAATGGAGTTTTTATGTTGGCAAATGAATGCTCCTCCCTACTGTTAGAGGAGCTAACTCCATTTTGCTGCCGGAGAGAACCAGAGCGGAGGCTTTAGCACCAAATCAACAGCCCATCTGCCATAGCTTGAATGTTTACCAGCCTGACCTGCACATGCCCTAAGAGAACACAACTACAAGCAGCCAAATAAAACCACAACTCTGGTGAAGTAGACCCAGCAACCTGAGGGAGAAGACAGCTTGAGCAAATAGGATCGCGGCTCCTACTGAAGTAAAATGAATAGCCGAAACAGAAGAGAATTTAATACAAAATTTTGCAGAAAAAGAAGAAAACCTTAATCATTTTAAGAATCATTTGGGAAGCAAAAGCAAACTAGATGTATATATTCTGTTACTATGTATATCTGTAATATGAAAATTGGTGCACATAAAGAAGTCATTAAAACCAAACAGGCATTTGCTCATATGCAATTTCCCACCAGGAGCCAGTGTGCTGCGCCATTAGGTAACACCAGGTAAATGTGAAAAGCATCCAGCTGAGCATAATGACCTGCGGGAGAATAATACGAAACACCTTATCTCTCCACTTCACCCCAGTGCACTGCCGGCTGTAATTTCTAGTAAAACCTGAGGACACATCCTGATTAGAAGTAGCAAAGGCAAAATGTGCCTCAAGTACTGCAAAGTTTCGAAGAAAACGTGACATTGCAATGTCTAGTCGGCCCAAAGTAATACAGTGATGAACTTGGGAAACAACACCGAAAACAAACGCAACAGAGAGCTTCATCTTCATTTCCAGTAATTGCCTGCTTTCCTGGTAACAGTGGGAAAGGCCTCTGCAGTTGGCTGAAGAGAACTGCAGCCTCACCCAGCCTGAGCAGTTGTGTCATCTGATCTCCTCGAGGGCCATAGAACAGCTTCTGTAGGTGGGGTGGCAATGCACACAACCATGGGAGTTGGATTTCTGTTGTAAGCCAGTTCGGAGGAACGGGAAAACAAGACAGGAAGTCACAGCCATCTACCCCATGTCATTTGAAAAATTGTAAACACCTCTACCAGGCAAACCATCTCTTTCAAAATAACTGTCTTCATTAGGGACTGAAGATGCTTAAATTAAAATTGTGGCAGTTTTCTTGTATGGGTCACTGTTTGAGTTTTCTGCCCCAACTCCATTTTCCCATACGTCCTGTTATTTGGGAGGGCAAAATTCCATCGCACAGGAATTCTTTTTTAGGATTGCATACGCCACGTTGTAGGATTATTGGAAATATGTACTCACTGTAATTACTGGCTCATCACATCCTTCAGCAGAAGTGGCCACAAGTGAGATACTGTGCAACAGTCGGGTGCCATCTCCTTGGGGCTGGGCCGCAGTAGGGAGCACCTCACTGCAAGATCTCCTGGATGGGCAGAGCAAGCTGTTGTCAGAGCCTAGTCACACCTCCAGGTGTGGGATATCTCGGGTTTAATCAGAACCCAGCAGGTGGTCCATATAAAGCTGGATTCTAACGCAAGTCTTTAAAGCCATCCTTTGCCCAAAATGCAATCCTTTTCTTTCATATCCCAATTTCTACTCTAAATTTACAAAGTGAATGCTAAGGATTGTGGCTGGCCAGATTGATAAATAATATTCCAATTTAGACATGGGGCCATGTGCTGGCCCAGAGACTAGAACTGGTGGTCATGAAGCAACGCTGCCAACTTTAAAAGAATTAAAGGTCAGAATTTCGTTTCACTTACAAGATTTAACTCAAATGAAGGAGGTTTAAAAAAATATGCATGTGTTGCCGAAACCGGTTTGGGTCAGTGGTAGAGCATCGGTCTGCGGACTGAAAGGCCCCAGGTTCGATTCCGGTCAAGGGCATGTACCTTGGTTGCGGGCACATCCCCAGTAGGAGGTGTCCAAGAGGCAACCAATAGATGATTCTCTCTCATGGATGTTTCTAACTCTCTATCCCTCCCTCTTGCTCTCTGTAAAAAAATCAATAAAATATATTTTTTTAAAAATATGCACGTGCAAAAATGGAAGCAGACTCATAAATAAAAGACTAAAGTAGGGGGGCGTAGAGGGTGGAGAAAAAGTGATTAAGAAGTACCAAGTACCCTGGCTGGGTTTTCTCTGTGATTAGAGTGTTGGCCAGCGGACCCAAGGGTTTTGGGTTTGAGCAGCAGGTTTGATTCCCTGTCAGGGGCATGTACCACTATAGCAGGTTTCCAGGCCTCGGTAGGGGTACATGTGGGAAGCAACCAATCAATGTTTCTTCCTAAACTGTATCCTCCCTCTACCCTCCCACTACTCTCTCTCTTCCTCTCCCTCTCACCCTCGTTTCTCCCACTTTCTTTTGAAATCAATGGAAAAAATAACTATGTGTGGTGCCAGGTGGGTACTGGAAACATGGGGGGAGGTCACTTTGTAAAGTATATGATTGTCTTACCAATACAAAATAATATTGAATGAAAACTGTGATTGAAAAAAAAAGTCTTCTGGGGAAAAAAATGCATGTAAATTGCCATTTTTATCCTATTCTTATTACATTTTCTTCTCCTTTCATGCTAATTCCCTCCTAGCCAGATCTTGACATTGCCCCCTCCACATGCCCCCATCTTTTTTTCTATGCTGCAGTCGACTGATTTGTTTTCCTACCTTCTCCTGGAAAACGGGGTTCGTCCCACCCTCAGCCAAGAACAACATTCAATGTCCAGATCTTTCCTGGCTGAAAATTCCGCCATGGAACAGGTAGCATGTTCTGAGTGTGCGAAGCCAGAGCCCCAGGAGGGATCCTACTGCCAATCTCTACAATGCCTTGTTTGAATTGGATAGGACCCTATTTCAGAAGGCCCGATCCTTCCAAGACAGACATTAAGGCTCCAGTTCAACGTAAATACAGGCTCTTACAGAGAAATGGTGATTCTCTCTCTTTCTGCCCAAAAACCTGAAGTCAGAGTTGAGTACTTTTGCAGCATCACTACTGCTCGGGGCTTCGCTTTCAAAGAATGCAAACCTGAGCTCAGCTACCGGTGAAAGAGGCCGCTGCTGCTCCT